AAAAAAAAAAAAAAAAAAACAAACAAATTCATGACGAATTTGCATTTTTATTTTATCAATTTTTAATGCCTTTCAGTTTTTGTTAGGGATTAAAGGGAAATTACTTCCACATTGTTTTGTGTTTGTTTATAGGTGTATATTTTTTTTTTTTTTTTTTTTTCCACGTGCAAATATACTTTTTTCCGCGAACACATTCAGAATTAATCTGTTATGGGGTCCATGTTCCCGCGCAGTTCAATTTTTGTGCGCATGTGTATGTGCATTTACCTATTACGTGTAATTCTACCGGCGGAAAATAAATATGTGGTCAATGTGAATTAGCCTTGCGGGGAAAACGTGAAATGTAACATAGAAAAACTGAAAATTAATTCGTTTTTTTCCTTTCGACATGTCCGTCCTGCTCACCTCTTTTTGTGTGTTCTTTTTTTTTTCTTCGTGTTACTGCTGCACATGCGCCTAAACACAGAGTGCGATTTTTTTTTTTTTTTTTTGTAACGTAATGCCACCCGTTTACCACTACAAACATGCAACATTTCAGCATTTAGGAGGCGATAAGCAAATTTGAAATAAAATAAAAATAAGAGAACAATAAAAATTGTGCTGAAGAAATCACAAAAAGGTTCTCAGCTTATCGGGGGGCGGGGGGAAATGCCTCAACAAAGGGGACCAAGGGAGGATGCAACGAAGGAGAAGACAGGACGAATAAGCGTGATTGATCGATTGTAAAGACAAGCCAATTTAGCGAAGGAGCGGCAAGCAATATAACTTTGTTTCAATATTCAACCATTTTACGAATTCTATGTGTCTTCTCTTCTTAGCAATACCTCAGAATTAGGCACATAAAGTGAATTACATAACACGCTGGCTGCGTCTGGCTTACATTTTTGCCAACACGTAAACTGGTCAACGTGATCATTCCCTGATGCCACGCCTACAGTTTTGCATATTTTGTTTCCCCGACCACATGGTCTATTGTCGTGCCTGATTTATTATCCGATCAAAAGTTTAGCGGTTCTACTGCTTAACCTGTTAACCTGTTAACCTGTTAAATGCTTAATTGATTGCTTTTTTTTTTGTTTTGTGTTTTTTTTTTTTCCGTTTTTGCCCAACTGGCACATGAATTTGATTCACCGCGCCGTGTGCATTTCCGCTTCCCCCTTTTCCTTCCCCGTCCACCTCTCCGCTGTTTACACACATCTTCCCCGTCTTGTTTAATGCAAGATGCGGAGCTTGACCTGCTTCGCCGTGCTCTTGTGCACCATTTTCTACCAAGTCATTTCAGATAATTTTAAGTGGCAAAATTCTAACTACATTTTGCATTTGCTCCAGAAAAATGCGAATTACAAAATCGTCACGTTAGAACCGGAGTGCACCGTAGGGGCAGGTAACCAACTAGGACAAGCGGCACAAGAGTCCGATGTTAACAGAAAAGAATTCTTACTTCACAACTACATGGTAATTAAGAATTCACAATTTACAAACGCAAAAGTTTTAGAAGTATACTCATCGAAGGAAGAAAATACTAAAAGCCATTTAGTGTTAATCTTCTACATAGGAGACTTTAATTTTTCCGTCGGTAGCAATTCTCCATATGAAGTGAATTTAATTTTGAGTATAATGGCAGGAAATAAAAAAAGTACTTGTAAAATTAATAATTATAGTATGGTTTTGTTAAAATCTGCAGAAGTAAATAACCCTTCAGAATTTGAAATTCTGTCTGAACCCATCAAATTTAGCATAAGAAAAACATCTGCAAGTTTCAGAATAAACATAAATAACCTTTTCCTAGATGGAACATGGAGACCTTTCGTAAAGGACAGACTTACGTTTTTATTACAACCAGAAGATAATTGCTATACTGTGTTGGAAGATAAATTAAATAAGCCATCTTTAATAATTGAAAAAAAAAATATGTTTTACACGGAGTGGGGAGAATGGTCTCAATGCTCTATGGAATGTGATGATCCTGATAATGTACAAATAAGGGAAAGAAAATGTGCTGATTCCTCTGGGGAATGTTTTAAAGGAGACCTAAAAGAAACCAGACCATGCCAAGTGCCTCTACCCCCTTGTCATTCCCTATTTGAGATGAAAGAATCTTTAACGTTTAAAGTGGCCATCATTCTTTTACCCATAATACTTATCATTTGTGTAATGGGAATCCTATATCACATATTTTATAAACAAAAAGGAGCTGAGAAGGAGTTGTACGAAAATGTGGCTGGCAGATATATGTACGAATGAGACAAGTGAAATATATATCTAGCTCTCCAAATGCAAAGTGGTCTCCCCTGTTTGCACCAAAGGTTCGGTCTACCTTTGTATATACGCACCTCCCGAATGAACATGGTGGTGGAAACGACGCAACGGAGCTGGTGTCCCCTTATGGACAATACCGAAGTGGTACTAAAATCATTTTTCTAATTTAGTTTTCCCGTGTTTGTTATTCTTTTTTTACTTTAGCTATCTATGCCATTACCATGTTTTAGGAGAAATCCTAAAAAAAGACCGTTTCTTTTTTACGAACCTTTTTGTGCATAATATTTCTCTCTCCCTACGGGTTACCTTTTTTTCTTTTTTCGCAACTTCCCTTCCCGACCAGCACGTAATTTTTTTGTTGTGCTCAATTTTTTAGTTTACGCGTTCTTCCCCTTTTGGCGGAGTCCCCGTCCGCTTCTTTCAAAGTGACAACCAAAAAAGCAAACTAATTAATTAAGTAAACCTTTAATGGCCTGCTCAACGCGACCTCTCTTTGGTTCCACAACTTGCCACAAGAACGCGCAGTGGTAGCGGTATTGTTAGCCATTGTGGCAACAGTATTGCGCCAAAACTCTATGCATATTCAAATGTTTTATTTTCTCCCTCAAAGTAGTACTTACGCGTTATGCAATTTGTTCCGTGTCGCTTTGTTTTGTGTGCATGGATCTGTATGACGCTATTTAGTACAAAAATAATAAATAAAATACACCCGATAGGGACATATTCCCTTCAGCCTAATCTCCACATGTAGAAGTGTGCACAAACATGAATTCGCGCATGTGATGATCCTTTAGTGGACAAACGACAAATGGGATCAGCTTGACAACAATTCGCAACTATGCGAATAAGGAAAAACAAAAAAAAAAAAAAAATTATAGGTGTGAAAATGTTGAGCTAATATCGTCGCACGATTTATTATTACGTGTACTTAATCTAAAAGGCGCAAAGTAGCCGAGCGAAAAATTCCAGGATACCACTTGGACCTTTCTCCCCCTTTGCATGCACATTACCAGGTGTCAAGAAAGAGACCAAAACATGTGTATGTCCAAATGCATGGCACTAATTTGAGAGAAAAAAAAATTATCCTAAGAAAAGGGAATTTCATTTTATTCAATTTGATTCGATCAGATATGTTTGTAGAATAATTCTGCATGCAGAGCGACGCCTTGGGGTGTGGCACCGCGAGTTGCCTATAATTACTGCGTCGTGTTCAATATGCGTAAAAAAAATGTAAGGGCTTCCCATCCACGCACAATCGGATGCGAGTTAAGGCGTAAATGGATCAAATTTTTGGCGCGCTAAAAAATGGGGTGAAATAGATGTGACAACTGAGCCGACGGGCACACGCAAGTGTGCACATATGGACACATACATACATGCACATTATAAAACGTGAGGAGTAAAGGTAATAGGAGATTAGTTTTGTCTTCTTAAATTTTTTTCTTCATGAATGTGTATATTTAACTGTGGACAATTTATGGCGCATTAACCTGTGTAATTTTTCAACTATAAAAAAAGACACACTTTCTGTGTACTCCATTTTGTGAATTTTTTTTTTTTTTTTTTTTTTTTGACGGCTTATTCGTGTAGACTAATGTGTGCCTCATTTTTCACGCCATTTTTTGAACAACTGTGAGGAGATATTTTGAGCTGCAAGTTGGCTACCAAAAATTAAGCGCTCTCTCTGCTCATTTTGTGTGTCACATTTTTGTCGCAAGGAGATTGTATATATATAGGTAGATGCGTATATTACACGCTTCATTACATGCCAGTTACGCCCCGTGTTTGTTTGTACCTCTTCCTCCATTGTGTACATACTTGTTGAGAGGGACACCGCCGAACCTCCACCAGGGGCACGTTCTGTCGCTGCGAGTATAAGTACGCACAAGTTTTATGCACCTCGCCAAAGAGCCCGAATATTGTCAAAGCAAGAAATGAAAAACCACCGTGACACTAAACACATAAGTTTTACACTTGTAAAATTTGTGGTGTCCTTTTTGTTAATCCACATTTGTGCCATTAGTGTAAGAAAAAATGTAAAAAAAAGTAGAATCATTATGCACCAAAATGACAATAGTGAAATACCAATAGAAAAAGTAGTCCCTTACTTTTCGGAGGAGACAAGCATGTTCGAAAATTACATGGTGAAAAAGGTAAGCCATCAAGAAAATATATGTATAAACTCAATTCGAAGTAATAAAAACTTAAATGCATCCATGGAACAAATGATAAAGTTAGAAAATCAGACACATGCTATAGAAGTGGGGAACAAGAGAAACATTTATGGCTACACAAATAATCTTTTACGAGATGGAAACTATCAACTGTCTAATATCGCATTAACATTTAAGGTACCTATAAATCATGAAATGTGTGAATTTAATTCCTTTAATAATTACATTCTTTATGTTAATTATTTGAAGAGTGTAAGTTTTGAAGAAATCAAAACCAAGTTACAAAAAGGCGTTTTTATATTAATAAAATTACCTGAGGGTTACGACTTAAATAAATCCGTGGCTGCATTTATGGGGGATAAATATTCTTTGTCAACAGGCACACTAGAAAATGATTACATAAAAATTAATATTTCAAATGCCATTCAGTATAACATATGTCAGAAAGAAAACCACAACGAGGCGAACAAATCGGCTGAGGCCAATGAGGGTGACAAAGTGGATACGTACGTTCTTGGGAAGAGCGTCGAATTTGTTCTTTTTACTTCGCACGAGTTGAGTGATATTATTTTGTTTTCACCAGAAATAAAGGACCCGCAGTTTCTACATAATTATAAAAATATGAGGAATATTGTGAAGCTTAAGAAAAGTGAGATGCGTTGTAGGAGTGGGGGGTTCGCCCTGGGGTGAACGGCAGGTATCTACCCGTGCTGACTGGGTTCATCCACCTCCGCGTCACCACCTCACCACTGCACGACTTCACCGCTTTACAACCTCATCACACCACCACGTCGCAGAACTAAAAGAGAAGCTCACCCAATGGGAGGAGTGGTCTCCATGCTACAGCGTGTGCAGCGACGATTTTTCATACAGTTGCAGGCGGAACAAATGCCTGGAGGAAGATGCAGACTTTTGCGATAGGTATTTTAACCTCAAATTTCGGAAATGTCAATCGGCTGCTTGCCAAGTCTTGCTAAAAGGTACAAAAAAGAGACAACTATATATATAAAGCGAAACAGGGCAAAATAAAACAAAGTCGCTTCATACAGTGAAGCAAAACCATGATACGAAAAGCAAATTTACAGGCTTCCTTAACAGACATGTTCAAATTTATCACATTTTTATTTTTCCACCCTCAATTTTTGTTTAGAAAAAGTTAATGAAGTCCCAAAAGAAGCTGTCCAGGAAGGTGAAAAGAAGGAGGACAAAGCTGAGGAAGTAAAGGATAAAAAGGTTGATGCGGGTGCTGATGCCGAGGCTGATGCCGCCACCGCACCTGCTAATGCTGAGGTGAAGGAAGCGGAAAAGACACAGGTACAGGTGGAGAACCATGCATCAGCAGAGGAGGAGGATGGTTATTTAGACGCACTAAGGTTTAGACGACGAAAGGAAAAGAAAGTGAACTTCTTTATGTGGATAATGAATAGTAAAAATAAGACAACAATGAACATGGAACATGGGTGTACAAGCGCGAACAGCATCGTTGTGGAAACATGCTCAGTGGGATTACAAAGCGACAATCATACGCACACACCATTGTATAATGTAAGCCTACACAAGAATGCATGTACATCTTCCCACATTTTTTGGTGCTTCTCCTTTCCTCTAAACTTACAGATAAAAAAATGGCACTCGGATTAGTCTTATTTTTACTGGGAGCTATAATTTTCGGATGCATATATTGCTATGTAAGGTAACATTATATTTTTTTTTTTTACTTTTCTAATTTTCCCAACTTTCCAAAAAAGACGAATTTGGAATTTTTTTTTTTTCTTCACCTTTTCAGCTCCAATCTAGGATTTCATAATGATGAGGAATATTGTGTGTCAAAGTACAGACCTCAGGCGATGAATTAAAACTTTTTAAAAAATTTTTTCTTTTTAACTTTTTTTTCAATTTTTTAAAAATTGTGCTTAACTGCGTTAGAACTTTTTGAAGAGAGGGAAGAGGTGGTAGGAGGATTTTGTCCTGTCTCGCTTATTCTCTTTCATTTCCTCCACATAGTTTAATTTTGGCCTGTTTTGAGGCCCACTTTTAACGTACAATTTGGTTAACTTTTTTTGTTGTTGTTTTTTCCTTTTGTTCGTTCTTTTTCTCCTTTCTTGTCGCATTTTCCCGTTTTTACGAAACAGACAAAATGCTTACCACAATATATATTACAGAAAGAACATTCTTTTGACATATCCCCTTTGGGAACGTTGCTACTTCTTCTTTAACGTTATGCCGTTAAGTAGAGGAGCAGCTGCTATTTAGTACTTTGCACAATCATGCGCACACGCATATGTTATGGGTGGAATTGCTCTATTTCAAAAGTGTAAAAATGCAAAACATGGGACGCGAATTGGCTAATTAAGAACTGTGTGCAATGTACTGCATGTAGGTGGGCAAAAAAAAAAAAAAAAAAAAAAAAAAAGTGAAAACGCGGTTTCTCAAAAGCAACTGTCTTTTTATTTACAAAACGTTTAAATAACAGCGGGGTTTCTTTCAAATATGATTTGCTCCTACAACAGGTGGCATGCACTTCCTTGGGTCAGTTTTTCCTTCTTCCTCTTCTTCATAACTTGGTGAGCGTAAGCGCATCAGGTGTTTAGCAGATTCTTCAAGTGTTCCGGGCACATACGCTTCGCCTGCACAAATAGTCAGAGGGTAAAAATGGGCGTGATTAACCTGCATGTGTAGCACTCGCTGCAGGGACAGTTATCACCGAAAAGAAAAACAGAACGAAACAGTACGAAACAGAACGAAACAGAACGAAACAAGATGAACACGCGAATGTGTAGTGCGTGTCTTCTACACTTACTTGCTCGTTGGACGAGATCAACTCGATGAGGTCGCTGGTAAGGGGGTACTTCTGCTGTAGGGCGTTGAACAGCGTGGTGCATTCGTCCCTTCGAGAGGAAGAAAAAAAAAAATAATAAATAAAATGAATTAATTAACAAATAATTAACAAATTAACTGATCAATTAACCGATTGACAGCTCATTCCACCGGTTGATTGATTAATGCCGCTTCCGCGCACAGCCATGGACGCAGAAAGAGAGCGTGCGCCTCTGGTTCCTCTTTGCCTCTCTTAAAAACTTACGCGGGTAACATAAAAAAAACGTAAAAAAGGGAGTGCTTGAAATCGGGCCACAACATGGATATGCACATCAAACAGCCCTTCCATATAACCTTGTTGTTCCAAATTTTTTTTTGTATCAAAAGGGGAATAATAATACTACTTATGAATTCGCGCAAAATGTTAATATTTTTGCTAATTTGACACAGGAACCTTCCATAAATGGGGATTATGGCATTGCTATTTTCTGCGATCTGCTGAATTATATTGGCTAAATCTTTTATTGTAATATCGTTGAACATTTTGTTTTCCTGATCATCCACACTGTGTAAGTTCACTTTGGTGACAAAATAGTCCAGCATAATTTTTTGTATATTTTTATTCTTGTTCAAGTTGTAATAAAAGTAAAAAATTTCGATATTTGTGATATAGTATGGTTCATTTTCATTTTCATTTTGCTTTTCAACAATATAGAAATATGGCAATTTTACAATTTTGTTGATGCAGGATTTGAGGAGGTCCACTTTGGTATTTTCGTCCATATCATTTTTAATTATTTCATTAAATATATACACAGTTTGCTCCTTTTTCAAAAAAGCAACCAATTCGATAATAAAATATACGTTGTTATTTTCCAAGTACAAATTGTAGCAGAAATTAAAAAAATTTGTGCGACTTTCCCACGAGGGGACAGATGATGCGCTTGTGTATTCACTCAAATTTCGACTTATGTATTTTATAATTTCTATATTAACTTGGAAGGAGCTGTTTTGGATATTGGTGCCCGTTTCTTCCCCTGTTGTAGCATCATTTTTATGTTCCTTTTCCGTGTCTTTTCCCTGCTCGGCGTCTTCCGCACTGTCTCTTATGACATTCGCTTCGGAAGAAGCGGCTGCGTCTACCTCTACTTTTTCATTAGCTTCCTTTCCCTTGTCCTCATTTTGATCATTGCACTTATTATTATATTTCAAAATTCTAAAAAACTCCTCATGGAAAAGGGACTTTAACAAGGGGAGGGAGGCTACAAACTTGGTCAACAAAATTGTTCTCACTTCCTTTTTTACACAATTGGCATATGTGTTCAAATAGATGTGGAAAAATATGGAGGATCTGACGCAGATACTTAGGAAATTATCAATTGCGTTGAGGAAAAAGTGTAAAATTTCTCGCAATTCTACACTTTTATCCTCCTGATCAGCCATTTTTTTTTTATCCTCTTCTGGTGATTCGTTCACCAGTGTGGAAAAGTTCTCCCAAAACTGTACTTTGTTTTTCTGGTACACTTTTGCTACCTTCGCGAGGACAAAATTGCACAAGGCATCCACGTAATGAATACTCACAAAGTTTAGGAAGACGTTTCCCTTTTTCATTCTGGCTATCATTTTGTTGTCTTCCAGTAGATCTACTGCTTGCATGAACAGCCGAACGAAGATTTCTTCGAGCAAGACTTTCTGCGAGATTTCGTTTTTCTGCAGGCACTCCTGGGCCTCCTCGTAGTGGTAGTCGTTGTCGGTGTGTTCTCCGTGTCTGTAATACCCCTCTTTTTGTTTTCCATCGTCTGCATTTTTCTCGTCTCCCTCTTCCTTGCTGCTATCTTCCGTGTCTTCCACGGGCTCTTGCGCTCCGTCGGAAAGTCCACCACTTGGTGCTGCACTTCCCTCACCATCAGCCTTACCCGTGTTGAAGAAGTCCGTCTGCTTTAGAAACGATTCCACTGATTGGAAGATTTCGGGGCGATCGAGACCCTTCACGTAATCACTTAATTTCTCCTTAACAAACTCATAGTTTTTTAAAGACCGCATCCGCTTTTCGTAGGATGGGATATTTTGATAATTCACAAATATGCACAACATATCATTATAGAAAAAAGAAAAATTGGTTATTAAAAAATTGTGCACGAAATTAATTAATTCCATTGGCCACAAGTAAAAGGCATAGTGAGAAAAAAAAAGAATGTCATTTCTCAAATGGGGCATGTACAAATTACAAATGTATAGTAAAAATAAAATAAAAACTTGGTGATAAAATCTGTATACTCTTTTCGTGTAAACAAAAAAACATAACGCATTGTTGTAAATTCCCTTGGCTGCAGTGATGAGTTTTTTTAAAAGGTTTCTAATGTCGTTACTAGATTTAAATAGCGTGTTTATATAAATGGCTAAAATGGTTTTCTTTGCTCTTATATTTTGATTTTTCTTCAACAAATTGGAAATTAAGGAAAAGCAAAAAATGTAATAATTCGAAGCGATTTGCGCCTTGGGGGAGTACTTAATGTAATAATTGATGTTAAACATTGGTTCGTCCACTTCGTTTTCCGTGCCTGTGATGATAGAAGCGTCGTCTTTTTCCTTATTCCTCTGACCCTTCTTCCTTGTGGCAATTTTATACGCACCACTTCGTTTATGCGTTTCGTCCCCACTGGACATATTATCATTGTATATATTTGCTTCGCCAGTGTTATCTCCCTGGCCAAACAATTTACTGTAGAGTGATACGTTGGCAAGGTTTCCTCCCGGTACCGCTACGCCGGTATCACCATCTTGTAAACTTTCACTTTCATGTGAATTAAAATTTTTGTGTGAATCATCATCTTGACTGTTGTCCCCCGCCTTGTCCTTCTCCTGCGCATTGAACGCGTCCACTTTATTTTCTTCATTTGCATAATCCTCTGTGTCATCACTTTCGCTTAATTCAACATCAAAGTGAGAAGCGGATTCATCTGACGACACGCTGCAGGTGTTCTGATCAAGCGCATTGTTATGGTCCCCTTTGTCTTTCTCCCAATTGGAAGCAATTACAGAGCAAAGGTTATCACCATTTGGTGTGTAATATTTGCCTTCATTTGCTACTGTGCCATTTTCATCTTCGTTTTTTTTACTTCTCAAAAGGTTCGTGTGGCTCACGTTAGCATCTTTCCCTTCTCCTATCATTTCTCCCCTTTTTACATGGGTGTCCTCCAACCCCGCCGTCACCACACCTTGGTTCATTATTTCTCTTTTATTCACACCCCCTTCCAAAGGGGACATATGGCCACTATTCGAATTATTAATATACCCAGTGTAATCAATATACACTTCTATATTGTTGAGCCAGATTATTAGGTATATAAAAAAGGAGAAGGTCAACTTAGGGGTCTCCAAAATTTGTTCAATAAAAGTTTTAATATATTGATCTCGATGGTTGCTTAACAATTTATCATTATGTAAAAAAAAAATCATGATATTTAAGATTTCATCATATTTGCATTTGACTTTGAATTTGCTCTTCTGCAGTTCTTGTCTGTACGCGTATCCTTTTGTTTTTATTTTCTTTTTTAATTTATCCAAATAATTGTAGCAAAAGGTTGTGTAGCCTAATGTATGATCATAATGGTGGCCATGCGTTTGGTGTGCGGAACCTGCTTGGCTGTTGTTCTTACCTCTCCACCCCTTTACCTGTTTTTGTTTTTTTTTTTTTTCATCTTGGATATACGAAAAAAACAATAAATTGTTAAAAATTTTAAATATGGCGGAGTAATTTAGGAAAACATCGCTAGGGATCTTCCCCTTAAATATACACACAGTGTTAACCTTCACCAAGTACAAAATGAGGAAATAAAATTTCAGCTTTTCCTTCATCATGTCATTTAAAATTATTCTCTTAACTACGTTATTTATAACTTTTAAATTATTAATCCTTTTGATAAAAATATTTTCACCCAATACTGGAACATTATTTTCCAAGTTGTTGTTAAGTATTTGTGAAAAAAGGAGAAAGTAATACAATTCCACAGTCCCCAGGATGCTATCGTTAGATTTAACATTGTTGTAATATTTCAAATCGTTCTTTAAAAAGTTTGCATACATACCTTTGTAGTTCCTTCGGAGAACGTGAGCATGGATACTCTTCTGATTTTCGTTCATCCTTATGTTCGTTTCTGCGGTATGTGGCATAATTTCGTCTGCGTCTGCATCTTTGCTGTGGTTTTCTCCATCAGGGTATTCCCCTACAACGCGCTTATCCTCATAAAACGCCTCTGTGCTGCGTCCAACCCTATTGGTGATGGACGTCTCACCGTTGTGCGACACATTCGGGTAGTAGGTATAAAAATCGCAAAGGTCTGTTATACCCTCGCTTGGCCTCTTCCTTGTCCCGCAAAACAAATCCTTCACGTTGCTCCTTTTGGAGCAGTCGAACTTTTCATAATATTCCTTGTCCAGTTTAAAATTTGTGAGATATAATTTTTTGACAATTTGATTTATAAATATATTTTCCCTTTCCTCTTTTTTAAGGAAATCGTCCCTGTTATTTTCGCTCACGTTTTCCTGCTCATTTTCGTTTTCGTTCATTTTTACTTTTAAGTAGGACATGATATCCACGTGCTCGTTTTTTAATTTCTTATACCCATAAAAATCCTTCCTCAAAACATTTGTTTTTAAATATTCACAATTGTATTTGAAATTATTTTCGTACACCTTGCTCTTCTTTTCCTTTTCAGTATCTACCATTGTGCTCTTTATGGATGCCTTTTTTTTTTTTATTAATTCCTCTGTGCTTCCTTCCTCCCCCAACATGTGTAGTAAACTCGTAACATATGCGTAGTAGAAGGGGAAATTTACACTACTTCTGCATATGAGCAAGTACAGTTCATTTTTTATGTACTCCACCATGCAGTTAAACAGTTTTTTCTTATAACTGCTTAGGCCTGTTTCGTCGTGGGGGGCGGCAGCCTGATCATCCTCTGCAAAGGCTTCCTCTTCACACTGATCCATGCGCTTTTCCCCCTCCAGTGCACATCCCTGTATGCGCACCAATTCACTCACCATTATGAAAATATTCTTAAGGAAAAAATTGAACACAAACGGGACCTCTCGGATTAGGTAAAACACATTTCTCATCAGATGAGTGAGGAAAATTATGTTGTCCGTTGTGATTTCATCAATAGTGCTTATAAGACAATCTGTACTTATGACATACTTTCTCGCGAGTTGCTGGTAATCCTCCTGTGCCTCATCCCCTGGGGAGGTGTCAGAAGGGGAAGCTCCCTGCGCAGCTTCGCCCCCGTATTGGTAAGCACATTCGTACACATTTTCGAATACACCTGCGTGTCCATTTTCGTGCGCACTTTCGGAGTTTACATGTTTCCCGTCACCAGTAAACCCCCCATTAAATTGTGCTATCAATTTGTTAAAAATTTCCAACTTGGGTATCTCCTCATCCCAGCTACTACGTTCTTCCGTTATGGCCATCTCTTCCTCGTCGTTTTCGCGCTTAATTATGGGTTCCATTTTCACATTTTGCTCCGATTTTAATTTTTTTTTTCTCCCCCCTTTTTTTGCAACTGGGGGATTGGAAGCGACAGCAGGGATGGAACCATGACGGGGTGTTTTTTTCCCCAACTCCCCGTTTATTTTGTGCACAGATAATTCATTTTTGGCAAGATCATTTGTATTATTTCCATTTTTACTAAGGTTAAAAAGAATTAAATCATTTAAGAGTCGGATGTCCTGCTCGAGCCATATCATAATAATTTCATCATAACTTTTCATATTAACCTTGTCTGTAGCAACCTGGAGGTATGCTATGTCGAACACTTGGTTAATTACATGGTGCACTTGCTTCTGCTCACTTAATATTTCTTTAAATATATTTTTTTTATTTTTTAAAATATGAAAGAAAAATAAAATTTCCTTAGTCAAAATCAGCATCAAGTTTTTTATTAAGTCATATTTGTACGGGTTTTCCGTAACACCTTTATCGAAATGGAAGTTCGTTAGGATATTAAAAATTTTGCTTTTCAGTATGACATAATTGTGGAACCCTTGTTTGACATTATTCAGTTCGTTTTTTTTTTCTTGCTCTCTTTCTTCATGGTTATCGTATAAAGAATTATCTCCAGAGTCGTGTAAACAGACTTTCGAAAATATAAGCCCCTTCAACAAGGGGATGATAATTTTTTTTAAATGGTCAACAATTTTTACAACATAATACTTTTGTTCAATTAAGTTTACAAAGTAGGACACAACTAAGTGTGCATAATTTTTGTTAATCCGTAGGACAGATGAGAGAAAGGTTAATATTCTTGTTAGCAATTTTTCCCTAAAGGGGCAATTAATTTTTGCGTCTCCATTATCTACGCGTTCCAGCAGTAAGTTTACATATGGAATAACGTACGTGTTAATTATACTTCGATTTTTTTTATTTTCATTGTTAAAACATTCGAAGAATATTTGCTCTATTTCGATGATGTGCGGGATTAGGGTTTGCTCGTCTTCTTCGTTGTTTTCGAGCAGCTGGATGATTTTCTGGACGCGGCATTTTTTATTCTTTTTTCTGTTTTGTACCATTTAGTTAGGGGTGAGGTGATTCAAATGAGTCGTGTGTATACTTTGTGTGTGCGTGTGGTTGCTTCGTGCAAGCATATTTGTATATGCCTACATATTAGACCTCGTGCCTCGTTTTTCACTCATGCGGGGTGCGCAAAAGTGAGCAATCAGTGACGAGTTTGTGTTTGCACTTCCCGTGGTTCCTTACATATCAGATGAGGTATATAAAGGTGGCCTCGTCTTTAAAATTTTATAAGATTGGCAATTGTGCCAAAAGGACATAAGTACAGGATTTATATTGTGCTACGTTGGTTGGCAATCACCTGCAGGTGTGCATTCCATCCACTTGATAAGAGGTTGCACTTGGTACCTGTCGATCATACGTGGCGACGTGTGGGGGGAATGCCCTGCGCAAATGTGCGCATACAAATGGGAGCTCAGGAACACAGGTGTTGCATATATACGCGACGTTCAGCTGCATAACGCATTAACAAATAAGTAAGCGTTTTCCTCAACAGTTCCACGCTTGTAGAAAACGGATGTTACCATTCTCTCGTTGTTACTCAAACTCCAACCATTGCTTCATGCACGATGGTATGCGCAACAAATGAAAAGGTATAAATGGAGGGACATACAAAAAAATAAACAAAAAGTCTTACATTTTTATAAAAGCATACCTTTCTGTTTTTATAACTTTTTTAAAGGAATAAGTATTATTTCGTGGCATTTTATTTGCATCATTCAATGCAATGCTGTGATATACCAAATGCTTATTAATTACGTATACGCGGCTTCCCCTTTTTGTTTTTTTTTTTTTTTTCTATTCTCTGTTAATATGGACAAATGGATGACGGGCGAACCCAATTCGGCTTTTAAAAATTGTCACATGTTGTAATTTAATTATTACGCATTATATGTAATGGTATGTTTGCATAGGTATAAATAAATGTTCAAATTTTTGGAGACCAACATTTCACCATATTTGCAAACCGAATGGGGCTTAGCAAATGATCCAGCATTGAACTGTATTAATGCCCTTGGCGCATTTTATTGAAAACACCAAACCGAGTTGTTATGCTTTATGTACACGTCGTACGTGCCACTAATATTACATGACAAATCAGAAATAGCGTTTTAAAACAAGGCCACAGAGGTGTGCTTAAGAATTTCTCCCCGCGCTTATTATGTGCAATATGGCACATGTAATGTAATTATTTAACGTTAAGGTATAGTAAGCACTATTTTAATTTACCTGCCGTATGCGCATACAAATCAAGGCAGGGAGAAAAATAAGGTTAAAAAATTATTTTCCTATTCGCTTTTGTAGAAAATTCAGTGAAAAATGAATAAACCGAATGGGAGAGAGGCCGAAAAAAAAAAAAAAAAATAATAAATAAGATAAAAAAATAAACGTGCGGTCACACGAGCGACATATTTGATTATTTTTCCCGTTTTCTATTTTTCGTTTTCTTTTTGCATTTCACATTTTTTGTCATCATATTAAAGAAAAAGTTTGTAACTATCCCTTAAAGTAATACATGCTTCATGGTGAACACGGCTACCCCGTGTATAAATACTTGCCTCACGGATCAGAAAAACCGAATTGCAGATATACCAACTTTTCAAGTGGCAGTCATATATTATATAGCCATTAAAAAACGCAAGAAAGTATCTCATGTTTCTTAACGTGCCCTTGTTAACATATATCCATACGTACGCATATACCAGGAATATAACAATATAATAGTTTATCAACCAGACCCATGGAAAAGAGTTTTCTTAATTTAATGAAAAAGGTACTACCAAACTCGTAGTGGTAATCCGAATAGAAAAGGCCAAGCGTTTTAGCGCTGATGAATTAAAAAGAGCAAAATGTACAAATGCCCAGATAAAACGATTTAGAAGTAAATGCCAACGTTTACTATGCGACAAATTATGCATGCATAAAACATATACATAAATATGCATTTAGCGTATTAAAAACAGGCTAGCATGTTTTTGCAAAATTTAGCAGATTTCAGCAAATTGTTTTAAGTATCTGTGGCCCCTTTACCATCTTTTCGAAATGGTACTTATGTTCGTTTTGCTCACCGTGTAAGGAGAAGCGCGCATTGCGACAAGTTGTTTTCCTGCACAGCCATGCACAGTTTGGGAAGGCCTCTCAGGAAAAACGTTTATGCTTATAAAATATACATTTGTGCTCTTAGCCCTATTAAGAAATAACGTGGACTGGGCGAGTAGCGTCAAAATATACATACATATATATATACATGCGCGCATACCATTCTGCTGGCTTGAAGCCATTCAACTGACTGACCCAAGTTAGCAACAGGGATGGACAGAAAGGCTGTCATGCGATGTACTTTTTGACCCTCGAGAAGCTATTCGTCCATTCGTACAACGCGAAGGCATGAGCTGCTTCATCGTTGAGAATTCATCGAAGACTTTTGTTTTTAGCCCGCACGTAGCACATTATATTTCCATGTCTTGTGCGTAATTTTTTTTTTTACATTCCGTTTTTCTTTTTTTTTGTTTGTCGTAATTTAGTAATTTTGTCGAGCGAGCCCCTTTTTGCGCCATCATCTGGGTCGCATGCGAAATGTGAATACTTCACCGTGTGCATATGTTTATATCTGTCTGGGATTGCATATTAGTACGTATGTGTGGATAAGCTGCTCGACCACACGGGTGAATGGCTGCATGAACGCGTGACCGTGACGTGCAAACGACGTGGCAACGACGTAGAAAACAACGTAACAAAGACGCCCAAAACAGTGCCGAAGAATATGCCAACCCAAGATGATAGACGCCCTGTACATTTTCTTCATAAATGGGCAGTTGCTAATACAGCGAAACTACCGAAATGTTACGAGAAAAAATGACCTGAACCAATACATAAACAAATATATAAAAACGAAGAGATTTTTCGAGCACCCAATAGTCGAAATAAACAATGTGTTTTTCCTAAACGTAAGCATAAACGAAATTGTTATAACGGTTCTGACGAGGAGCAATTCGAACATCTGCCTGATCTTCAACTTTATATATAAATTTATAGAAATATTAAATTACTTTCTTAACAAGGAAATTTCGGGAATAAATATAGTAAACAACTTTGTGTTGATTTACGAAATATGTGATGAAATAATTGACTATGGATATCCACAAACGTTAGAAGTAAATATTTTAAAGAATAGCCTACTGAATAAGGTAAAATATTACAGTAGGACATCTAAATATTTTCAAAAGGTGTCAAATGAGCTACGAAATCCCAACTGTGTGATAGAAGATATTGTACATGACACGAATATACAAAACCAGAATGAAGGACTGCATATGAAATATTATAATGGAAATAGTAAAGATTTGTATAAAAAGGGTAGTGTAAAAAATTCCAATAGTTATGAATTAAATGAAAAAAATAAACTAAAATATATAGGCAAGGAAACACTGAACCGAATTAAAAATAGAATAATTAACAATAGTAAACCACCGAATAATTTTAATTACATAACGGGCAATTGCACATGGAGAAACAACAACATTTATTATAAAAGAAATGAAATATACATTGACATACAGGAAATTCTCAATGTCACAATAAATAGCAACAATTTAATATATGCCCACATCAATGGAAAGGTCACCCTGAAATGCTTCCTCTCAGGGATGCCTATATGTGAATTGAGTACAAACAATAAGATTAACCTTCTTAACAATGCCACTAACGCCTCTACTGGGAATAATAACGCCAATAATGCGACTTCCGCGAATAATAGCTCGAAAAATGCCGCAAAGGGAAAATCCAGTCAAAGCAATAGCAAGAAGAAAAGCATAAGTGAAGAAAAGGAAACTGAGGATATCATTATCGACAATTGCATTTTTCACCATTGTGTGACGCTCTCCAAATATGAAAATACAAAACTCATTACCTTCACCCCCCCGGATGGTACATTTGAACTGATGAAATATACTATTACCAAAAATATACAGATACCCTTTCATATTATAGCTATATACAACCCCATACTGCAGTACTCTAAGTCGATGGAGAAAAAATTTTCTCTCAAAAAACTCACAACTAATAGTAAAAGCAATTATGGGGACTATAAAAATACAAACAGGTATGAATACGCCGTTACCATTAAATCAAATTATTTGGGCAGTTTGTATGCCACGGACGTTGTGATAAAAATTCCTATTTATAAATTTTCTGAAAATGTGGAAGTGAAATATAAATCGATTGGAAAAACTGAATTCAACAACATTGAGGGTGTCGTCACCTGGAGAATTAAAAAATTTCACAGCTCAAGTGAACATAGCATTAGGATATATTTAACACTTGAAAATCAAAACCAAATTTACTCCAACATGAACAACACACAAAAGGTGGACGACCTGTCCAAGGTTGTTTTACAAGTGCACAAAGTTAAAAATATGAATACAGTTAAGTTTTTAAATACCTACAAAATGCCCATCACACTAAGTTTTAAAATCCCCATGTTTACTTCCAGTGGCGTATATATCAAATACCTTAAAGTTTTCGAAAAATCCAATTATAAAATTATTAAGTGGATTAAATACTTAACCGAGTCTGGTATATACCAGTACAAGTGAAACAAGTTTGTTTATTATTTTTTTTTTTAAAGTGCACACGCCCCATGCGCATGGACACATGGGTGTGTGTTTTATTGGCACGGATCCACCTCAAGGGACACGAAGTCGAGCACAACGCGTACGGGTTATACATAGAGACATATATATGTGTACATATATTTTATACCCCATACGTATTGGGCCTTATGCGCAATTTTTAGTTACCCAACCGTGCTTCCTCATTCTGAAGGGTGATCCGCCTGCACCATATTTTTCACGTCTCCCCTTTGGTTAACCCCCAATCGGACTTTCGTGTACCCACCTGGTTACTACATGTTGTTTTAGCAAATTTTGGATTTTTTTTATTGTCGCCCCCCTTTCCCCGGTGGCACATAAATACATATGTTTGTCTACATCTTTGTATACCCCTCTATGCGTTTGTGCATACATGTGTGCTTATACATTATGTGTGTACTTTTGTACACATGAAATATTTTTTCCACGTTTCTGCACACGCCTTTTTTTTTTTTTACCCATTTGTTTTTGCATTTTTTAATGTAATTTTATTATTTCCTGCTCAATGGAATGTGCATTTATGATTTATGTGATCCAATCCCACGCCAATGGGCTGCGCGATTTCCCGATTTCGAAGCTCAAATTGTGGGCATACATCCATATTTGGGGGGCAGTTCTTACTCCCCTTTTTCCACCACACTGCTTACGCGTAGATATGCATATGTGAATATAAGCACATACGTACAATATAAATGCTCGTTTAGGAAATAGATATGAACATTCGGGGAAGCTTGTTCATTTCGCGCTAGGCAGTGTGCACTTTGATGAGTTATATATGTATGAACATATAAATGGATACGTGTATCACAACCCACCTGTGCGTAACAACGTTTTATGTAAAAATAAAAACGTTGATTTATCATGTTTATAACATTTGTTTTTGATAAACTTTCTTAAGACATTTTTTTTTTCTTTTTTTAATATTAACATTTCAGTTAAAAAATTAACACACAAAAAAAATAAAGTAAATATATAAAAATGTGTTAAAAACAAAAAACTCGTAACATTTTGGTAAAGCTTTTTTTTTTTTTTTTTTGGACATAAGTGTATATCTTTCGGGGGTAGCATAAACATTTTTATGACTGCACTTCGTTTCGTGTGCAGACACGGTGGACACAAATTACAAAAACAATATATACTCGAATTGAAAAAAAAAAAAAGGTGGATTATGCGCATGCGCGGAGTGGTTACGTGTGCACATATGTTTAGCGGTTTTACGTATGCTCTTGTGAAAGGACATTTCTCATGCACGTATATGTATACGCATGTGTTCACATATGTTAGCTTGTATTCGTCGGAACTATAGCCCGCTTGAATCAGGGCCATCACTTTGATGCATAACCATAGAGGATGGTACCAATCATTGAAATTGCTATGCCAATGGATGAACTAAAATTGATATTTTCACCAAAAAATAGCTGAAGGGCGTAAAGGGGGGAAACGGCGCACACGTGAGTACACATATGTATAAGTGTAGGTAGTACTGTGCGCACACTCGGATGGGGAAAGAACACAACTGCTTAAGAGAACACAGGAATATACAGAAAGGACAAGACTGCTTAGGTCCACACTCAACGTTCGCGTACCGATCCAATAATCAAAAGGATTGCTTCTCTCCCTATAAAGACTATACTCAGGGTCACGGATGAGGTGTACGCTGCGAAAAAAAAAAAAAAAAGGGAAGAAAAAATGTTGTTACTCGTGTTTGTACGTACAAGGTACTACTATGTATGCGCATCAAAATTGTGCCCTTTTTTTGGCAAATCACAAATGTGTATATCTTTTTCTTGCATTTTACATATTAATGAGAATTCGGCTAAAATTAAAAATATGCTGCTCACGGCGCCAATGGCGACTAAAACCAATGCTGCGAATATCTGGTCAACCGTCAAAATGTTGCTGTTATAATCTGAAAAAAAAAAAAAAAAAAAAAAAAGTCAAAGATGGGAAATTTTTAAATGTACACTTGTGCACATATAACAAGTGGGGGAACATTCACATAGCGTTAAAGTATCATATAATACACGTCTTCCTTTCTGGAAGGAGAAATACCTCGATTGCGTTTTCGCCATACTCACCTTTAACAATACAGGTCAAATCGATCACAAGTGTGGGGATAACTACAAAGAGGGGGAAAACAATTTTTATCATATGAATATTTTTGCAAAAACTTACAAGTACCCGCTGGAGAAAATCCAACTCCGCGGAAAAGCACTTTACGTTTTCATGTAGATCCTTACTTATGATAAACATGGCCATTTGGTATATGTGTAACAAAATAATGTGTGGCTTCATGGATGTTGATCTTAACAAAACATTGGTAAAAACCCATTTAAGGGATGACGCGATGACGGATATGACCAACAGGAATATACTAGGGAGAGGGGGGGGGGACGCAAAAAAGGGTGATGAATAAAGTAAGGACAATGCCAATGTTGTTGTACTTTTTTTATGTTCGCTTCGACGGTTTTTATTTTATTTCATTTATTTATTCTTCCTTACCCAAATAAGCTGTCTATTTTCAGCGTGGTAATGCTCATAATTACCCCCATCAATATTGTAAGCTGCGGAAAGGGAAGAACAGAAGGATTATTGCAATGTCAAATGGAAACTTTTTTCCCCTTACACATATGTTCACATGTATACACGCCTAAATACATGCACGAATTATCCTATACGGGGTTATTGTGCGCATCTGCTTCCTCCATTCACTTACAATCGAACACAGCAGGGAGCACTTGAATTCCTTCAAACCTGTCACAATTGGGGAGGAAAAAAAAAAAATAATAATAAGTATGCACATAGTCACATACATTAACGCGTGCATGCTGCTTGGCGAGAAAACCATTCCTCTTCGAACAAATGAGGGGAGATTATCGGAAAAAAAAAAAAAAGATTACCAAATTTGATGGATAAAAAATATATCAATATTAGCGAACTCGATTTAATGACAGAAATGACCGGAATTTCTAAATAGGAGTAGGCGCTATTGCCTGTCACAACGCTGAGTCCTAGTAATGCCGCAACTGCGAGGGGTGGTGAAGAAAAGGCGCAATATGAAGAAGCATTAGTGAACAAAAAATGTACATATATATATATACATCCATATGTTTGTATGTTTATATATAAAGTCGCATGAGAGAACGCCTTCGGGGTCGGCGAGCGCTGCCTAGACAAGACAACAACAACAACAACAACAACAAATGCTTTACTTGAAATGATATATTTGATGTATTCCTTCCTCGTCAAGTTTGTCGAACTTTTCATTTTCCCACAGAAGATTACCTAAAGGTGAATGGATTGTAAAGGGTGTTTAAGTGTATGTACGGTTCACATTTATGGAACAGTGTGATAGGGACATGAATAGTACTAGCATGTTTCACATAAGAGTATAAACCAGGGAAAACTCTTCGAGGAGGTATTACCCTCCCCCTTGTCTAATCTTTTCCTTACCACTTTCAGAATCAGATACATAATGAGAAATTCCAAAAGTGTGACAATTTGCGTGTAATTAAACTTCTTCACAAATATGATATACTTGGTTATGGTTGTACTGAACGAACCGAAGAAGAAAATCGAGGAAACGAGGATGATAAATTTGATTACATTTAAAAACACGTCCTTCTTCACACCGATGGTATCCTTTCGTATGTGTGGCAAAAAGTCATTAGTTCCTTTATCCGTTTTCACCTCCTTGAGGTCGTATATTCTATAATCTTTATTTTCATTTTTCACAGATTCTTCGTAGCTGGTATCTTGGTCAATGTTATGTTCTGGCAATATTTTATATTTCTTTTTGTAAAGTTTTAGCTGTTTTTTTAAATAGCTAGTTTTTTTTTTCTTGGCTTTCTTCTTCCTATTTTCTGATAAATAACTTGATCTTATAGTACTTAGGTCAACAAAACTTTCTATCGTGCTGTTGTTGGTGTTGTATGCTTCTACATCGAACAAATAATATTCGATGGCTTTCCCTTTTTTTTTAACTTTCCTTTCATTTTTGTGGTCACTTATATTTTCTTCTATGTCGTTTATGTTTATATCGTTGATGTTGATGCCATTAACAGTTGAATTTTCTGTGTTCATGTCATCATGATTGTTTACTTCTTCATTTTTCTTGCTATACTGTTTAAGGGTCTTCATCATAAATGGCCCTTGTGTGTGTCTGCTTGTCTGTTATGCCTCGTCAGGAAAGCGATTATTACAACGACGAGGCGCGAACGCGGGAAAACTTAAACGGTGTACTCTGGTGAAGGTCAATGTGTAGTAGAGAGCAGAGACGGGGGGAAGGAAACAATTAAACATAGACTATGCAGTGGTACGAACAGTGAGGACGTTAATATTGTTTTTCCTCCTGTTTAAGGTGACCGTTGGGAGAAAAATACAAATATAAATTACGAATAAAAAAAACACACAAAAAATGAAAAGTGACATAATGCGTTATCTAGTCTGTTGTAAATTTTCTCGACACAAGTATGTGTGTATAGGGGAACCTCTTCGTAGATGAACTTATTTACACGCATATATATATATATATATATATGTAGCACTTATGTGTACGTAGGTACACGTTTTCCCATATAAACAAACGAGAAACTATAAAGTACATACTAATGCCAAGTCGGCATGCTATTACAATGCTTGTTGCATCAGAGGGAAAAGGTTCCACAAAATAAGGTTTAACTTAGAGGGGAGGAGAAAATGAAAAAAAAAGAAGAAAGCATCTTAAAAAATTATTATTCAAAAGGCCCATATTTTGTGAAGTCACGAAATTTATGCGTATATTTGCCGAGTACTCACGTGGGAATACATATGCATGTGTTTATGAGTATGTAAAGAAACGAAGCAACAATGCATTGGTTTAGGTTACTTTATTCTACCGGTAAGGTAGGAACAAAAAAAAGAAAGAAGGAAAGTGAATCAAAACATATCTCTGCGTCAGCGGATCAGTTGATCAGTGGTTGCGCTGGTTCGCTGGCACGCGGTGAATTGATGGAGTATATAAACGCATAACAGGGTAAATGAGAAGTACTAGTGAATACACAAACCTAGGGATGCGTAAAGGAGAAGTTTGCGAATGCATGGATGAAAATGGCCACTACTTGTGAAAGGCTAAATGGATAGGAACATACATAAAATATATAATATATTATATTATTATGTATATTTCATTTTGCGATGCGTTTACTGGGCCTAGTGCATAAAAAGGCGCTAACGAATGAATGAGCAGTTTAAATAAAGAAGCAGTTATATACTACACATGATGCGCGTTTAAACAGGCAAAAGAAAAAAAAAAAAAACTTCTAAAAAAAAAAGGTGAGTAAAATTTACAGGTTTCTTTCTTTCGTTGCACTCACTTAATAAATTTAGAAGGCAACAAATTTCCCCCATTGTTCACAAAAAAAAAAAAAAAAAAAAAAAAGCGATGGCACATGCAGGAAAAAGTCCATGCTTTGTTCCAACTGTATACGCGTTTATATTGGTAAAATTAAGACGGCTTCAATTGTTTCGTGGCTCATGTACCATTTGTGCTTTCCTTTTTTTTTTTTTTCTTTTGGTTACGCAATTGCGCTTGTACACGCATATGAGAAATAATTTGTGCGTTTTTTCTCAAGCGTTTATGATGTGATGGAAAAAGGTTTAAGCCGCGAAACATGTCCAGAAATGAGGCATTCATTGCCTTGCATATGTCATACGTAATACATACGTAACGAATGGTAAAGGGCTTTTCTTTCCAAAGAATGAATGGGAAAAAGACCAAATGGAAAAGAGGGAACACAAAAAAAAATAAAATAAAGGAGAAAAAGCCATGTTATGAACATTGTGATAACTTTTTTTAACGCAAGTGAAGGAAAAGGACGTACTCCACGTAATCTTTTTTCATTTTTTTGAAAAACTTCATGTATTTTGTTCCCCTCATCATTTGCCTGAACAAATGACAGATTATTTTTCTTCCGTCATGGAGTTACAGTGGTACGGCACAAAAAGAAAAAAACAAAAATGCAGCACAAATGGAAACGTCATTTTTATAAATATTGTTAATGTAACACCCTTTTGTGCAGATCTGTAACACAAAAGGAGCGTGGACAAACAAATCCTTTTTCTGCTTTGTAATTTGGTGGTAAATTAAAGTTTTATGTACGAGTCAACAAATTTCAAATGTGCCAATTTCACATTTGCGTATGTGTACTACACCCTACGGTGATGCAGGCGTGTAATGGTTTTTAATTAAAAAGCGGAGGGGACACGGGGATGAAAATACCTACACATAAATCCATCACAACGTAGGATTATACACCCGAACGTGTATATATATGCATGTGTAACGTCCCGTAGTAGTACATTTATAACACGCTTATGCATGGAGGAAGGGCCCATGGGAAAAAAAAATATATTCCACACAAGTGGAAACAAAATTATTATAACATGCGAACAGTGATTTTATGGAAAAGGAAAATGGGTGAACAGGCGTAGGCGCCATCATCTGTGCGAAACTATGCCAAATGAGGAATTCATAAGCAAGTTAAATTTTATCCTTTTGAAAGTATTAAAATATGGGGGCCGCGTACCAACGTAATGGACATTTACGCATTTGTAAGAAGTTGTGGCATATGCTCACAGGTACACACAAATAAACGTAACAAATCGGAAACGGCGTACACATAATCATGTGACAGGTTAAAAGACGTCTACATGCTTATGCGGTGAATTTTAATAAATTAATGCAAACAAAAAAAAAAAAAAAAAAAAAAAAAATATGTATGTATATATATATACACCTTGTATGGGCACTACAGTGAAGCAACAGACAAGAACGACGAAAAAAAAAAAAAAGTAAAATATATGCGGTTCCTGAAATTGGGGCAAGCGCGTCAGTCTTCATACGAATCTGAAAGGGAACAAAAGGAAATGGGGCAAAATGAAGAGGAGTTATGCAAACTTGTGCTGTTTTAAGCTGTCGCCAAGCAGCACAGCAAATAATGAAAATTCAAAATGTTAATATATTTTCCATTTACGTACCCAATCGATGCCAATTTTTTTTATTTTCTTGGCCAAAATCCAACTTCGTGACAAAATCAAGTGTGCTCTCCTTGGATAACTAAAAAAGGGAAAGAAAATTAGGAACATGGGCACGCAGTGAACATTGCAACATTTGGCGCATTTCATAAAATTAACAAGGAAGACACGCAGAGACATAAAAAATAAACATGGCAAAAGAGTAATCCCAATTTCGCACAACATAAAAAAGTGCGCAATTTTATTTGTTCCATTTCGTATTACATTATTTTTAAGCAGCTTGATCGAATTTGCAACGATGCTAAGGTACTGGTTGAGCCGCTTCTGGTTTTCCAGCTTTCTCAAAAGATTGTCTCTATTGTCGATGATGTTGTAGTGCGACATCAGCTCCTTGTCATCAATTGGGACCAGGACACCTGGGTGGGGAAAAAAAAAAATAAGGAGGAAGAAATTCGTTGTAAGAGTGGTCCTATTTGAGCAAATCCGCACAGTGGCGGAGTGCAACAATAACACGCACACAACACATGTGTAGGCATATAAAAGTAGAGGACAGGACTGCGCGCCAAATATCCATGGGCCTCTGCTATGTGCACAAGGAACGTGGACGCTGTTCTGTCGACGTGTCGTCACGTCTGCACTTACCATTCACCTCCCGATTGAGCAATTTGCTCTGGATATACTTCTCCAGCGTGCTTTCGCAGTCAATGGAGTAGTCCAAAACATTGGCCAGGTGCTTATTTTTGGGCAAAATGTTGTTCAGAAAATGGGCATAAATCTTCGTTGCGAATGGTACAGATATGAGCATTTTGATGGCCCAGAACTGTAGCTTCACCTCCTCCTGTATGAGTTCCTTCGACTTTGACTTCTTGTTAATTTTAATGTCAGTGAGGGACAACTGATGATTTCTGTATGCCAAATTCTGTTTTACATTTTTGGTAATTATGGACATTGTGGGTTTAACACCACTAGGTGTGAGGAAATTATCTTCAAAGAGTTTGCAGCCATCAAAAATTTCTTCGATGATTTCGAAATGTACCGCATAGGTTTGCTCAAAAACAATGTCTTTCATTTCGCTGGCACAAGTAATGGCTCTTTCTTTGCAGAAATTATGCAAGGCCTGATTCAATTCATCCAGGAACTTGGGATTTGTACTTAACAGATATATATTTTCATCCATGTAATTATTTTTAATTTTTCTGTTAATTTCTCCCAAACCTGCTTTGAATACTCTATTTAATGCTACGGCAGCTGAGCAGCTAGCTAATTTGGTAAGGTGTAAAATATTTCCACTTATATTGGCTTGAAGCAGATCAACAACTAATGGTTTCCAGTCACTCTGATCGACGATGTTGTGAATGCTTCTCATCATTTGTAGCAGCACTTCATCTGTGAAATCTTTTTCGGGTTCGATTTTTGCAATATTGTATTTGAGCCATTTACAAATATATGTAATAGCTAGCTGATTCAGGATTTTCAAATCGGTGTGTGGTCCTGCGATTCTTTTAAGTATGTCATCATCATTTTCTTTCATTTCTTCGTTTTCTTCATTTTCCCCATTTTCCTTAATTTCATCATTTACGTAATCCATGTAGAGGTCGTTAATTTTTATGGATATAACTTCATCATTTTTCGACAAATTTCTGATAAGCACATCTTTCACTTTGCTATTGTTGTTAAACACTTTAATAATTTCTGCTTTGTCGAATCCAACCCATCCATCATCTCTTATCATTTTGTACCAAACTTGTAGTCCATTCAAAAAGGACGGATCGCCATTCAGCGTTTCGACTGCCTTTATAACTGTTAATCGGTCTTTCTCAACGGACTTTATTTGCACTTGCTCTTCCGTGTTGTTATTTCTGAAGTAAAAACTCACTAATATATTTTTACTTTTCGTATCTGTGGGTGTATTTTGGACAACGCCGAACATGCTGCTTTCTTCTTTGGCCAGAATAAATCTCACAGGCTGCCCTTCCACGAGAGCAGGTACATTGTCCGAGCTTTTTTTTTCTATATCGTTTAGCGTGTCATACGTGTCGGCCCTCTTATTACTACTATTATTATTATTGCTGTTACTGTTGTTAAGGTCTTTGTTCAAGATACTATTGATGTCGTAGTTACTGTCCGACGAAAAGGACTTATTTAAATCATTCTCATTTGCATATTTGTACAAATACTCATTTAAGTAGTTAAGAAAATTTTCGTCGTACAATCCCTGCTTTTCAAATAATTCCACCGCTAGTTCATTTCCGTCTTTTAAATTTTCCATTAAAGTTCCACCATATTTTTTTAAAAAGTCTTCCCCATTATTTGGCAAATTTAAAATGGGGTAATTTCCTGTCAATAAATTAGATACGATATTAACCAATTCTCGTATGTACAATTTGACTTGCTCTCTTATGCTTAGTATATTTCCCTTGTTGTATAGCTCTTCTAATTTTTTATTATAAAATTCCATCTTGGATTTTTTTTTTTCTATCTTCACTTCTACCTTACGTAACTGCTGTATTAGGATATTCATAAATTTGCTATTCACTTCTTGTTTGAATTTCTCCACATCGAAACAGTCTAATAACTCTTTCTTAATGGAGTCGTTACAATCGTTTTCAAATTTGTTCAAGAGCAAGTCTAGCACGTTTTTTCTTCCGTTTAGTATCTTGGAGTACATCGAAATTTTGTTGGTTAGAAAGTCATTTTTTTCCTTCTGCTCTATCGGTATGGAAAATAGTTCTAATAGGTAGAGTGATAGAATATTATCATTATGGTCCGTGATTCCTCTTTTCTTCACCCGGTCGTGCAGCTCCGTCAGCGTTTTTATTGTGCTCAATTCATTGTTAAGAAATTCCAGGGCCCTCGTTCCCACAACGATGCACTGTTTATTTTGCAGACCAAGACCTGTGGTGTTGGTAAAGGGGGGGAAAGTTAGAGAGAGTGAAGGAGGCGCACGAGGTATGCAAAATGAACACATTAAACATATGAGTATCGCGCAGATGGCACACTCTCGAGTCATGTACTCCATTCGCGCGACAACTTACCCATGGGCTTGGGCTTCATGAAAAACTCCCTCAAATGGTAGGGCCAATTGGCCGGATCGTCCGACGCCTTCTTCACCAAAATGTAAATATCGTTCGGAAAATTCTGCACATAATTACGGACAATTTTGCGCGTCAGCTCTGACCCCGCTTTGGAATCGTCCTTTATTCCTGGCAAATCGACAAAGGTAGCGTAAATGCCACCTGGGATGGAAATTTCCACTTCTAGCTCCTTAGGAATAATTGACTCGTTGAGGTTAACCATAATGGCTTTCATTTTCTCATGCAAATCATCAATGCTTACTTTCTTCTTATTCAAATAACATTCTATTTTATTCGTATCACTAGGCTTTAGTATGATGACAATTGGCTGCTTGGTTCCTGTGTCTGAGCTCGTATACCCCATAGGTCCTCCCATAATAAAATCCAACAGGGTCGTCTTCCCCATGGACTGCTGGCCAAATACCACCAAACGCGGCAACTCATTATGGATGTTACATATCTTAAAGATTTGCAGGGCGTATAAGTACAAAGCATTTGCGTTTGTCGTGTCCTTCATTTTATCATAGAAAACCTCCACCAACTCCAACTTCTCTCGACTGATTGAATTCAAGTCGAAAATCTTGTCCCCTCCATTTCCGTACTCCATCTTTTTTGACAACAAATATGAACGATCAGCGGGGGGGCAGCCGATGGGGCAAAAAATAAAAAGAAAAAAAGAGGGTGCTGCGCTCTACTCAGAGCTGGAAACAACAAAAAGGGGGATATTCCTCTTTATGGGAGAAAAATGTACATACAAATGCACATACACAAAAATAAAGGAAAGCGTTAACGTTGAGGCTAACGTCTTTATGCACGCGTACAACGGTTCCCAGCTGCCGCTATATAATGGTCACCTTTGAAAGGGCAGTTCAAAGGGGGGTGTAATATATACGCAAACTGAACAAAACCACGGTGTAGGGAATCACATATACATGAGCTCCCTTTTGCCGTTACTTCAAAATGGTGTTAAAAATTTATTTAAAATCCAAGCGAATAAATCGATGTATAACAAAAAACAACTCGTGAGAGCACAATGTAGACTAAACTTCCCAGCACATCACATTTTTGCCCTACGGGGCATGGTTTAGAAAACTATGCCGAGAACTTGTTCCCCAAGGGCAAATGCACAAAATCACGGGTCTACTGATCTACTGGTCTACTACCAGAAGGTTCCACCGCTGCGCCAGTACGCCAACGCTAGTACAACTGCGCAAAAGTAACGGGGGGAAATGTATATAAATGCAAGTAAATTAAAAAATGCGCAGTAGAAAAATACTAATCTGCGCAAAGTGGGACTTTTTCCTATACGGCACGTCCTCCTTCGCGCGTTGAAATGGGCGAAAGAAGCCTCAGAAAACAACCGCAGGATGAACGCGACATGAGCGCTGTTTGTTCGTCAAACGAATATTATATATTACCAAGTGCGCACTGACATAGAATAATGATAACATGCAATGGCAGTAATCTTTGAAAGTAAAAAACATATGTACGGACAAAATTGTAAATTATTTTTTCATGACTGTACCATGTTTAAAATTTCGCCGCGCCGCGCATTACTAATAAATGGTGGGTTAAAAAGTGCTTGAACGTTTGCTTTCCTTCCATTTGTATTCATAGAATAGCGTGGCATAGTACGTATGTACAAAAACATACATTATTCTATTACCTATAAAAACATATATTCACGAAAACGCATGAGCGCATAATGCAGCGCATATAATTAAGCGTACCCGTTTTTTTTCTTTTTCTTTTTTTTTCTTTTTTTTTTTTTTCTGCCGCCCCGTACTCTGCATATTTTTACTGCAGGAGCCTATTTACAATATGAACATATCAATGAAGGTACCATCAGAAAATAAGTTTTTTTTTTTTTTTAACCTTAGTTTTTGAGAAAAAATTAAAACTCTTTTCACGCACTGTAATGGGAGAGAGGTTTATAGTTTTTTCCTATAAATTGTAAGAAACAAATTACCCATAGGCAGCAACAACATGGGGGGAATCATAACCGTTGCGGCAAAAATAACTTTTCGAATTTACTAACTTTTTTTTTTTTTTTTTTAAATTCAAAGGAAAAATATAAAAGAGCGCTATATTCCACGCACATTTAAGCGGTTGTATAATAATACAGATATTTTTAAAAAATTACTTTTTGTACGTAGCGATAAAATGATGATATTATGGTAGGGGAGAAGCGCCATTACAAAAATGTCTTTCAAAGACGCAAGAAGATGCTTTTATGTGCTAAGTTACAATAACGTTATGATGTAAATTCACCAAGAATGCGCTGTACATCTTCTAATTCTTCCTCAAATTCTTCTTCCGGGAAATATTTTCTGAAATATGCGAAAAGTGTTCCCCTGCTTGTATGTATGCTATGTAGCAGATAAGAGGAACTTCCACTTGCTTATCTTTATTATGTCTACGGGTGTACATGTACGCGTCTGTTTTTGAACGGATGCGTTACGGCGAGTTCACAGCGTACCGGTAAAGCGCACTTCAGAATCACATACCCCTCTTTGAGGAGTAAAACACAAATGAGCTAAACATATATTGGGTGATGCTTTTTTTGGGGCTCCTCTAATTATAAGCGTATTGCATAATTATTGAATCCAGCCTAGGGCCTTTTGGTGGCAATTTCTTTTTCCCTTCTCAAAGTGTAAAGCCCCACCAGAGCAAATTAAAGGGCTAATTCCTTAAGATGTCTTCTGAAAATCCATCAAGACATGTTCAAACATTTATAATAATATTTTAAAAAGAGAGTTATTTTTAAAGTCCTTTGTGGTTTACAATATTATTACTATTAACAAAAAAAAGATAACATAATACAACACTCACGCATACAAAATAGACTTCACGTTGAAAATGTGCATTCTACAAACATACATATTAATAACGTTTATTTTATTTTATTTACTTTTTTTCTTTCTGTACTTTGTGATGCTTTAATTTTTCCCTTTGTACATGTGCAAAATACTATTTTCTCTTTCCCAGTGTGCGCAGAATTTGTGGGAAATAAAAAGAAGGCGTGACGAACAGGATGGGCATATGATCATTTGGTAAAAATAGCAATTTAATTTTTATTTAATTAAAAAAAAGAAAAAAAAAAATTCTTAATTGTACAGTTTAGCAATTACAAATGGTAATATACAGTTAAGGGGGTAAAAAGGTGTTACGCAAATTCTGTTAACACTATCGGGAGACACTGATCGGTCGCTTGTATTGTTGCAGGAGCGTGAGCTCCTCTTGTTCATTTGTTATTCCCAGGTTGGTTCTGAATTGTGTTCTTTTGTTTACTCTCTCACAGTTTTTCTATGGCTTTCAGGCCCAGGAGTCTTAAACAAATCTGCACGTCGTAAGAAAAGGAATGCACATAAGTGAAGGGTTGTGAATTATAAAACATGCGTAGCACATGTTAACTAAACACACACACACAATGGTATGCGCGTTGGAGCAATTACATTTGCCCATATGCCTATCTGCAATGCGAAGGGATGTACGTGCCGCGCAACCGTCGACCCTTCTATGTGCTTATGTAAAAAAAGGCCTTTTCAAATAGATACACACACATATATGTGCACATCTAAGCGTGTGTACGCTCCCTTTTCGCATTTACCTGTAATAATGACTTTGCTATGGCACACAGAATTAGTCTCGTTTTCTCGTTTTCGCTGTTTAGAACTTTGCAGTTTTCGTAGAACGCCGTGAATGTGGTCGTTAAGTCGTAGGTGTACTCGGCCAATCTATGTGAATTACGGGGGGAGGTATGGGCACATATATATAAATAACGTGATTCTTGCTCAAAATGAGAGAAGCATGCAATCATCCTACAGCGATGTTTACATCTGTGCAGTACGTTTAACACATACGTGCGCCTCTTTTTTTTTTTCCGTCAAATGTAGGGCAGCGTTATACGCTATTTCATTCACTCGAACGCTTACTTGTGAATTAGCATATTTTTCAAAATAAAATAAAAGACGTCGGGGAATTTTAAAATGTGCAATCCTAGGTTTATTTCGTACGGGCTAACTAGGTTCAGCTCATCTGTCAATTAGGGAAAAAAAAAAAAAAAAAATTTTTAACCACTCACACAATCATCGCTCAACGTTGTCCACTTCTTTACTAGGTACACTGCTCACCTTTTGACAGTGCGTCCATATCTACGCTGCACTTTCTAAAAATCGAGCACATTCTTGAGTAGGCGTATATAATGTACAATCCCGTGTTTCCTGCAGTGGAGGGATGGAGTCAAAATGGGGCAAAAATGTTCACAAAAAAAAAAAAATAAAAATATGTGGAGAGGTGGAGGGTACTAATCAGGTGCATAATTCGCTTTTCCCCTTCGCGTATACCTTTCACGTTCAGCATATTATCATAGGAAAACTTGTAGTCCGTGTTTCTGTGTTGCTTGATGTCGAAATACTTGATGGCACTCACACACAGCTCTTCGCTCAGCTTATCTATGTCTACGCCTGCAGGGGTGTGGGGTAGGGTTCAACAAACATGAGGCACAATTTAACGAGAAATAAATATACATTAATGTGCGCTATGCTTACAGACCCACTTTTGTAGCCGGTTCAATGACATTACATATAATGCATCATGGTGAACAACGAAAAGAAGAGTGGCACGTAAATCATAATTCTATGTTGAGCACACCACGCACAGGTACACGCGCAGTGTTTAGCATGACACCAATTTCACCACGCTCGCCTTTTCTATTAAGACTCTTTTCTGTTCTTACCTTTAAAGTAGTTCTTTTCCTCTTCGCTCTTCAACTGAATCCTTTCGAGTAGATCTTTCTTGGCTCGTTCAGTCCCCTCGTTGATAAGATTAATGAGCTTTATGGTGGCGCCACTTCTCGTTTTGAATTTTTTATTATCTGCATTTAAGACAAGACCAAACCCAACATGAACTAACTTGGTTTTTTCCCCTGCCCATTTTGCTTTCCTGGCTAGCTCAAATATAGCTTCGAAATGTGATAACTGTCCATTATCCGTAACATAAATAACACAATCAGAATTTAATTTTTGTAATCTGTAATGAAGAGCAGAAACATCTGTAGAATCGTAGCCATATCCACCATTGGACTTTTGTAAAAATAATGGGACATTGAAATTTTCTGACTGATAACATATAGCATCTCCAACATTTGACAACAGCTGTTGATCCTTTAACATTTGCAAAACTGATGCAAGCATACTGATGTAGTGTGATTCTCCAACATACTCTAAATTAATGTCTAATATTTTATATATTTTGTCGAATTCTTTTTTGCTACTTTCGCATATTTTTTTCCAAATAAATAAGCAATCTTCATCATTATTTTGCAATTTGATGGCATAACTTTTAGAGTTTTTTTCGAATTCTTTATCTGCATCGTACAGCTTTTTAGCCTCTTGGTACAAACTGGTCAAATTTGTTAATTCTGGCATGTTCTCCTTAAAATTCGGATAATTGGTGACTATATAATTTATAATCATTCCAAACTGTGTACCCCAGTCCCCAATATGATTAATCCTAAGCGTTTCTACATTTAAGAACTCGAAAATTTTACATATGCTATCTCCTAATATGGTTGATCTTAAATGTCCGACATGCATTTCTTTGGCAATATTTGGGGAAGAGAAATCGACCAACACTCTATTGTAGTCTGCATCCTCTTTACCCTTCACTTCATTTATATTTACGCTTATTTCAATTTTGTTATTTTTATACAATTTTAGTAGCGACTTTTCTATGTACTCTTTGGACAATTTGACCGTTATGAAACCCTGTGGCGATGATTTAATTTCCTCAAAAAAACTCTCGCTGATGTTGTCTATTATTAGCTGTGAGAGTTTCTGCGCATTTTCCACGTTCAATTCCTTTCCGTACTTTTTGAATATGTTAAGGGCGTTGTTACCTAAGGAGGGTGAGGGAGGGGTAAGATGAGGGCGCAGTAGCGGTAGTAGAGGCTTTCCATTATCCTTTTCCGCAAGTGTGCATCTCAACATGGGGCACACCAGCACATGCTGACATTTCGACATGAAGCCATCTTGACACTTTTTTTCCCATTTCCTCGCCTCCAAACTCCGCTGCAACGACGGTGGGTTTCACAAACGACTCGCTCTATCCCCCTTGTATGTATACACAATGCGTTATCTTCACTTAGGGGTGCGCTAAATGCATACGCAGGTCGCACAAAATGCGTCCCCCATTTGAAGAATTTAAAAGGAGACGGGTGCACACACGGAAGGGCGAAGTAGCCAGACAACGTAACGCCACTCGTCTATGTGACAGTACAAAGGACGAAAAGGGCGCAATCGCACTCACGTGAACGGTCGAATGACCTCACGTCATATGCGCATATATGTGGATGCACGCGTTTGCTCTCTTACATTGGAAGTGGCCGAATTTCGCATTGGCGTAGGTAACCACGACTTCTTCGTTAATTGTGGGGAAGCATTTCTGGATGGAGTGTTGAAACACCTGTTTGATCTTCTTTATTAAGCAATCCATTTTGCCAATAAAAGAAATGGGCGTACTCAGTCGATTGTTGCGAGAACGAACAAGTGAACTTCAAATACAAATGCACACAAAGGCGATTTAAACATAAATGTATATGTAGGAGTACACGTAATATTAACAATTTGATATTGCGGCAAACCTACTTACATGCATGTTCATTTTGCGTTTACACGCATTGGGAGGTTAGGGGCACGAATGCTGGACGGAACGGAAGAGAAAAAAATAAAAAAAATATATAAAGTTAAAAAAAAAAAAAAAAAAAAAAAAAAACACCATTGCTCTATGTCGCCGTTTTTATTTTGTTCCCTTTTGAAGATTAATTCGGCTAACCGAAAAGGAGGCAGGGGCAATGAAAAAAAAAATATATGTGCAAAGTGGATGGTGAGAGAAAAAAAAAAATTTACAGCCCAAGTTGAACCGAGCTGAACGGGGATGAAGCAGTTGCGAACCCACCCGAATCGCCCCCAACAAATGCGCACAAAACAAAAATGCAACAACCAGAACTCAAATTACTACCGCAACAAAAAAAAAATAAGAAGAAGAATATAATCTTTTTTTTTTTTTTTTTTTCTCCCGCTTTACACATCCACCAAAATTGCCCAGTTAAAAAGAGAAAAAATCCTCGTAAAACAGCCTCTTTTTTTTCCCCCCCTGCAAAGAAGTTTTTTACTCAACAAGTAAACATCCAACATCATTACTGATTTCACATGTTGTTTTTCCCATCATTGGGGCAGCTTTCACCAGTGTTCCCCTTTATGTTTTCTATACTGAAAAAGTACATTTTCACTCTAAGAGGAAGAGACCAAAATGGGAGCGTGCTTGGAGAAGCGAGGGCGGTAGAGATCGGTATATATCCCCATGCTTCGGGAAAAGAGAACCGCATTGGGGACCCTGCCCAAACACAAACCTCTACGTTACAAAAAACACTTTTATTTGAATGAGGAGTGAAACATCTTTTTCGTTGCGAGTGTCCATGTGTACACGCCTGCACCAACATGTGTGTGAATATAATTAAACGCTACATAGCAGACACGAGCGCCTGCTTAGGGACCTGACTTCTCGGAAACGTGTCAACTTCAGCATGTGCGCCCTTTTTTTTTTTGTTTTTCCTCCCCCCCCACCGTACGTACACAATTGATTCGTTTTCTTCCATTCACCAGCTAGGAAAACGGACCTGTCTGCTACTATTTAGCTAGCCATTTTAGGTACCCCTTGTTTCCTCATTTTCAATATTGTAAACATAATATTTTCCAAGTCCTCATAATTGTCATCTTCGAAATCGTCGTTCACACTTTTCTTATCGGGTGCATTCGAATTCTGCACGTTACAATTTTCGCGCCTCCCATCCGCAACTTCAGCATCCATTTGGGTCCGTGTCGTGTCATGGTTTGCCTCTCCGTTGCTATCGCTTCGCATGACCGCAGTGACCATTTTGCTCACTACAGGCACGTTGTTGTCTGCACTGCCAAAAGGTATACAATTCACATGCGCGTCCGCCGCTCTATCCTTGCAACCAGTTTGTTTTTCTTCCCCCCCATCATCCCTTCTCAGCGTAGGGAAACTTTCCATTTTGGAGAAATCGTCATACAAGAATGGTGAAACATTCCCAATTGGTTTTTTCTCCTGAGTGGCACTTTGACACATATTCCTTTCTGTGCGAACGGTGATTAAACTGTTTCCTTTATCGAACAAATTACTTGGGGTATGTACATTCTTATACTCTTCCTTGCATTTTTTATGATACCTTTCAATTTCCTCAAGGCGTCTTCCTCCATGTGGGACAATTTTAGCGTCGCAAAGGTCGGCAACACTAGATGAGCTATTTATGAGGCAATTCAGTTCATCAAGGCAGTTATCATTATCTTGTAATTTCCTCTGTCCATGTAAATACAGATTTGAAATTTTTGCCTTAAAAAATGGCATTTTATTTTTGATTGTTTTTTCATGCCATGTGATTTTATCCCTGTAGTTGGTCCAATTTGTTAACCCTGTTTTTGCACCAGGCATAGTTCTGTTTGCGTCTTCATGTGGAAAGGTTTTGTCATCACACATCTGTGAAAATGTCATTTTATTGCTTAGGTTCACCCCTTCTGCATGATTACTCTGGGCATTGATCTTATGGCTGGCTGGTGAGTTCCTCGTCCTAAACCCCTCAATTTTGTCTACGCGCGGTGTATTAGCCCCCTGGTCAATGACATTACAACAGTTTGAGGAGTATCCCATTTGATGATTTTCCCCACCATGTGAGAAACAATTTGTTCTTCCCTCCACTTGCAAGCTCGTATCATCCCCTTTCAGCACCACCATGTCTTGTTGAATGATGGGGTGCCTCTGCTGTACTTCTTCATCAGGGATATTACACCCATTAAATTCTTCCCCCAAAATATTTACGCCATACTTATTGGTTATTTTGCCGATGATGTCATTTTTTGTTCTCAACTCATTTTCGTATTTAGTGAGTGTACTTTCGTTTTTGTCATTTTGTAGTTTTATTTTTTCTATGATTTTTTTTAAATTTATATTTTCCCTGGTCAAATGGGTAATTATATTTAAATATTTATTCAAAATATATTTTGCATTCACCTTTTCATTAGTGTCATAATCGACTATTATTTGTTTATTTATCAACTTGTGCACTTCGTTGTGTATCTTGCTGTCATTTTTTCGCCTCTCCTGGGCTCGTTCCTGGAGCTTCTTTCGTATTGTGGCGCTTGTATTTTTGTTTTTATTTTTATTCATTCTTTTTGTGCTATACAAAATGAGCCTGTGGTAGGTATATGAGACGGAGAAGGGCTTTTTTTTTTTTTTTTCCTTTCGGGGGGCAGGTAGATCTATCTGTCTGTGTGGGGCACCCCTGGGAGTAACACATGCTTTCCCGTACATACACAACGTGTTTATATCAGGCGTAGGAGTATTATCGACGGAAGTTCTATGCTTCCTCTGCCTCACCCTTCTATTAGGTGCATACCTTTGACTTCCTAAAAGGGGATGCCACGTGGCATTTGTACTTCACCAATCATGAAAAGATATTGGTGCGTCTGGGGTCCTCAACCAAGGTTATAAGCTATACGTATACATGCTTACACATTTGCGCCCCTGTAGCTCTTAGCGAAATTGCCAAAAATATTTTTTGTCATAAGACAGAACGGTTCCTTTTTTACCCCTCCGTTTTTTTTTTTTTTTTCGTTTTTTCAACATTTAAGTAATCGAGGGAAAATATATATCTCTTTACAATTTTTACGAGGAATAAATTTTAATTATTCTCAAAATGTGGAACTGAAAAGAGGTGTGCCTTATAAATGGGTAAAAGGAATAAAGAAAGGAAAAACAGGTACACGGAATGGCTCAGGAAGATGAACAACGGGAAAAAATTGCACACATGTGTGTGTACATATGCATGCCATGAACTCCCAGAATGCAAAAACAGATATGAAGAGAAAAACTTCACAATTTGAATTAGAGTAAACTCGGTGTGGAAGGAAAGGATAGTGTAAAATTGTGTATGTATTTTTTTTTTTTTTTTTTCCCGCAAGTACATATATGTACGTCTTTCGTTTGATTGTATAAACTGGAATGCAAAATGGTAGGGCGAAAATATTGATAGGCAGCTGTTTCTGTAGGAAAAATAATTACCCCCCAAATGAGCCTCTAACCCCAATAATTGCTTCTCCTATGGGTCTCATATATCGGCACAACACACACCTATGCCCGTTTGATTCTCAGGGGAAAAGGGCAATATGAGGTTATTTATATTTAGGGAGAATTTCCTCATCACATTGTAAACCCCGATGTATAGTTCCACCTTATTGCATAAATGATAATTATTCGGACAAGACAAAATAGCATTGTTAATATCGCAATGAAAACAACCAAAGTAGATGAAGGATGGTTCTATTCCGTTTAGGGTTGATGCCGCTTCACTCTGAATGTGGTCCACTCCGATACTCAAATTATAAATTTTCAATTCGTCGAGTAAAAATGGAAAGTCACAAGACTCTACTGAATATGGAGCCCCTCCTATGTATATCGGAAAGTCGTTCGTTTTTGTTATTCCTAAAGTGAAAATGAAAGATGCACATGTGATTACGCCGCAATGTATAATGCGCTAGTTGCGAAATTGACCAGATCGAAACATCCACCATCTGGTCATTTATGAACTTGTGGAGATTCACACGCATATGCACGCATGCATGCGTAACCTTCAGTTAGAAAACTTGAGTCCAGGATTCCGTTCACGAAGAGTCTTACGTGGTTTATGTGTCTGACAACTGTGGCAGTGCAAGGGCAGAAAAAAAAAAAAAAAAAAATACACACATATATATACATATATATTTACATGTACACACATTTAAGCCTGGACGAGTGTGTTCCACCCATTCGTCTATTATATTCCGCGAACCATACCTGCAATGTGATACCACTGGTGATGCCTTAATTTGAAATTGCTCAAGAATTGTTCTCCGGCTGTTCAGGAAAATGTTATTCAGTGGTGCTCATGTGACTCATGCTTAGCTCTCCATATGGTTTTTTTGTTTCGCAGCACCGTTTTAGGTATATGCGCAAGGGTATCCCCAGTTAGACACAAATTTTAGCATATGTCACATGTGTTGAGGAAAAAAAATAGCACATGGGGGAATGAAAGCGCTCATAGTCATTTCGAAAAGAAGGGCAAAATGGGCCGATGCAATGTCAGTTAAAAACTGTTCATTTGTTTCAGTTTTTTTCAATCACCCGAGTTCGTGCTAGAAGAGGTGCTCAAAACGATTTTAATTCGTCCATTCTACGCAAAAGAGTAGTATAAGTGATAGTTTTGTGTGTACAGGGGTCTAACGGAGCGCATCAAGTTGTTACCTCTTGGCGCGTAGGAAACAACCCGAAATGCTCTGCGAGAAGGTCACTTGCACGATTCGAGGTTCCTCAAATTACGAAAAGGTGTACGCACAAACAAGGCTGTAAAAGCACAACATACCCTCTTTTTATCATGTTTTAATTGTGATTCCTTTTCCTTTTTTTTCTCATACCTTTGCATTTATTAATATAGCTGGGGAGGATTCCTGGATCTTGTCTTTTATGATTCCCTGCAAGGAGTGTGGGGATGAAACAACAGGGTATTCTTAATTGGTATAAAGATACTAATACAAAAAAAAAAAAAAAAAAAAAAATGGAGAGCCAATATAGGCGTAGAGGCATACCTTGTGGATTACCGGGCAAAACATTTCTTCTACGTTGTTTTTTCTTCAAATGGAGGAACATAATGTTAGTTCATGCGTGTATGTGGGACTATTTTTTATGCATTTACACACTCATGTATGAATCATTTGCACTCGCTTGACACACAACCCCTGTGTGAGGCGGTCTAGTTTGTTTTTTTTTTTTCCCTACATCGACAGTTCATCCTCCATTAGGTAGATAAAAAAGGTGTAGGAAAAATCGACCGTTTTGAAATATTCGTCCGAATGGGGAATGTAAATGTAATTTTTTCTGAACAGGGACGAGTTCCCGATACCGCCAAATCCAGTGGACGCGAAAAAATTTCCGACGCCATGGTTTCTGTTGCCACTTGCGTCTACTGCAGATATGCTGTCGAAGTTTATGTGCGCGGAGATGCCTATCGAGGGAAGGTAAAGTTGTTGCAGATTGACCCACGCAAAAAAAAAAAAAAAATATATATCTACACATGATTATGACAATGTGCATGCATTGTCCGCTCGGAAAGGTAAAAATTCATGGCAAATTTTGCACAAAAAAATGGAGCAAGTGTTCAGGGGAAATTCTCACCATATGGCTTTGCCTCAGGCAACAGGATCTTTTGCCCATTGTTAATACAAATAGCCGTGTCGATGGACACATCACATTCTGGAAATTTCGGATCATCCACATGACACTCAATTTGTATTTTAAAATAAAGGTATAAAAATATCATACACCAGGATTTGAAAAAGTGAAATGGCATTTTACTAGTGTAGGAGTAGAAATTGGTTTTGGTCCTTCCAGTGGAGAGGTCAGTGGAAATGCAAGCCGGTTATGGTGATTAGAAGGGGCGTGCTGAATCGAAAGAGTGTAAAAGCTCAAAGTGTCGAAACATACCAACAGACTAAAAAGAAAAAGAATAGACCTAATAAAAAGACAGCGGTGATAAGGCGAATTAACACGGGGAGGGGAAAAACAAAATTGCGGGGTCTTAACTTGAAATTTGTATTTTTATAAATTTCGATGTTGCTATGTTTTCGCATTCGTACACTTCTCCTTGTTTTTATTTTTTTTTTTTATCATTACATTTGGAGCGCACTGGCTAATCCTGTACATACTTTTCAGCTTTATGCGGTTGTTTTTAATTGGCCTTTCCCATGATTAACGCGTCTACATATATTTTTTTAGGCCACCGTATTTGTATTTTTTTCGTTCTCCCAATAGTGTATATACACATAATGGCACGATTGACAAAACATGCTAACTGAAGAAATAACAACAGAATGTGCAAAAAATGATAACATATTTGCGTTTTGCCAAGCGTGACATAATTAACCATTTTAAAATAAATTACCATTCCCTCATGGACAATGCATTAAAAGAATAGTAATGATGCATTTAAGGCATGGACCATATTCTAAATACATGTTTATAATTAATAATCAGGGCTCAAATTGTGAGATTTATCCGGTGTAGTGCGGACAACATTGTAAGTTTTTTTTTTTTTTTTTTTTGCTATGAAAACTCAAAAAAAAAATAACTGAACTGTCCAAAGGATCACAAACAACAAAAAAAAAAAAACAAGAAGAAGGAAGGTCTTATGTGCACATTCGAAATTTGTTCGATGGGCGCAAATCTGCCTGGCAACAATGAGGGCATATTAAAAATAGAACACAACGTTCTGCCTAGAGGTAGTGGTACAAGATAACATGTAAATAAGGGCACGACGTGGTTAGCACAGCGCAGTGGTCTCCCACGTGGATAACTGCCAACGGAGGAGAGCAATCATATCTCTACTGCGCAGTTGCCTTCATTTTGCTCGAAGAAGTCAGAGCACTGGTTTGGTATACAGTTGTGGAGGAAGACACCCCTAATGGGGTATTATACTTCTCACAAATGAGCAGCACACCACATTTGAGGCAAATATAAAATTTTTGTAAATCCCCTTTTCTCAGTTAGAGTAAAAATGTATTTTCTTATCAAAGGATCCCAAGATAAGCAAGGATTTTTTATTTTCCTCAATGTTATTCGAATTGGTTTCACTGGAAAATGGGCAAATGTAACTTTTTAACAATTGAAAGCATCTGATTTTATACCCATTATTTATAGCGTCTATAATGTTTCCGCTCTTTATGTCAAAAATTAAAATGTGGGTACCATTCGCTTTATCGTCTGACGTGATGTAAATGTTATTTCCGTTTATATCAACCTCCATTGTTGGAAAGGAAAGAGAATTTAAAACACACCCGTAAATTTTTCTAATAATGGATTTGCTAACAAAGGAGTAGACAAAAATGATGGACGTGTCTGTGCATATCACCAAAATGTTTTTATTTTTATTATACTCTAAATTGAGCATATTATATTTGTCTGCTTCATCAAATAAGTAAATTTTATCCACTACGTTGTACGTCTTGCTGTTTATACAAAGGACATGATTGCTGCTTAGCATGCTGGTTATTATCATTTCTTTGTTTTGATTTTCCTTGACCCACACAACACTTGTTGGTATTTCAGGTAATCCTATGATTTTTTTTTTTTCATAAATTACGGACAGTTCATCTTCACTTGTAATTTTTTCGTAAATAATTAAATTCTTATCATTTGCTATGGAACAGAAAAGGGAATAATCCTGATTAAATACACACTTGATGGAGTACTTATTATGATAAGTTAAATTTCTTATAATGCTAACATATCTTTCCTCCGTTTTTACATGATTTTTTATGTCATCAATTGAGTGATTTAATTCAATATTTTCCGTTAAAATGGACAGATGGTTTAAATTTATTTTGCATATAAATATATCTCCATTCATTGTGGACACGATAAATATATTGTCCTTGTAATTAATATCGATAAACATTATGGGTGAGCTTAAAAATAGATGGTCCAACTCTTTGCACATGTGAATACATTCCTCCGCGTTATTTTCATTATCGCATTTCTCGTAGAGTATTAAAAAAAGCTTCACGTTGCCATCTGCGTACCCTACCAGCAACAGGATTGGGAAAAAATTTTTGAAAAAAATGATATTCTCGAATCTCATATTTTGGCACCTATCCAGGTTATAAATGTCGACATATTTTACCACTAAAATGTTGGACGTCGATCCGATGTAGTTTTCATCCCCGTTGTTGCTGCTGCTGTTGAAGTTGTGGTCTCTTTTGCCTTTTGCGCCGCTGCAGTATTTTACTTTTAACTCTCTGCATATTTCCCGTTCGTATGTGAAGAAACTATCCCAGTTGTGCACATCCCTTGCGTTATGACTGTCCGTTACCGCTGTCCCCGGTGCGTCTTTCCCCCGTGCACCTTTGGCTCTTTCCCCATTGAGACTCTTGCTCTTTTTGTCACTCCAGTAGCAACCTTTTCCCTTCTCGCCGGGCAAATATGCACCCTCAACGCTTTCAAAGCTGTACGGGAAATTTTCAATTCTCCTTTTTTCTTGGCCCAACATCGCCTCATTTCTGGGCCCATTTTCATCCAGTTCATCGTTCCGTTTTTCATTAAGGGTTAAGTCAGGTTTGCTGCTTACCCCCGCGCGTAACTTCCCATTTAGTGATAGGGGAAATTTCAAATGGTTTTTCGCTACCGCAGTTATGTCCTTCATATCTTCGGCCACCTTTTTTAGTATGCATCCACCTTTAGCTTTTCTGTTATCCTTGTCCAAGTCGCTTTTTGACTCGTCTTTTACTTTGTCAGAAATGCCTATATGTTCACCCAGATTTGTACCTTCATTTTGCACGCTATTCTGGGTATAAGCGTTATGCTCTTTTTTCTTCTCTAAGCGGTTATCAGCTGAAGGTGCTGTGAAACTACTTTTATAAGCGGGAAAGTTATCCCTGTTTTGGAAACTGTTTCCCTTTTCTGCACTGTGCTTTTTTTTTTTCTCCTTTTCCCTCGCATTCTTTCTACTGCTGCTACTACTTTTTAATGTGCTTTCGAAGCTGTCTATGGCTTTACACAAAACTGTATTGTTCATTTTATCAATGGTGTGGAAAAAAAAGTCGCGATCCAGTTCTAAGTCGTCGCTTAAATTGTCACTTAAATTATCACTGAGGTTGTCATTGAGGCTGTCACTTCCGTGATCACCTGGACTGTTGGTTAAATTGTCCGCAACCTCATCATCTTGCGTGTTCATATCCTCGTCCGCCTCCTGGTTGCTGCCTTTCTCCAGAAAATACTTGTCATACTCCTTTACGTAATTTATTTTGCTTTCATTCTTCAAAGCCTCCAAACTATTTTTCATTCCAATCTTATCCAAAAAATCGTAAATAAATTGCAAGTTCCGGAAGTTCTTCTCATTGTATTCCTTAAACTCTTTTCTCATTTTTGTATCTTCTTGGTCCTTGTGGTGGTAGGGGCAGTAAGTGTAGTGTTCCGCTTGGCTTACTTCGTTCCGCAATCAAACGGTTTTCCTTCTTTTTTATTTGTTCCTTCCTCCCCTTCGTGCGATTGCAGTGTCCCGGGAAATGAAATCACAATTTAACAGCTCATAAAGGGTGAACCTATCTGCCGCCGTTGCAGAGTTCTGGCCAAACTACGTTGAATTGTGTTTTTTCATGCAGATGTGCTACCGCAAAATTTTCTACCTTATTTACAGTGTTTTGCAAAATTATGCACCTTCTGTTTTTATGCCATAAATTCAAAAGTACGTTAGTGAGGGGGACACCAGAGTAGTTTTATTTTTGTGCCAACTGTTGAAATATGTGGAGAAAAAAAAAGCACAGAGTAAAATTTCGGACGAGCCTTGGGCACATCGAACACGGTCTCTGCACCTATCTCCGCACTTTTATATGTGGGTCTACTTTGAGCCGTTTCGGTACACTTTAGTCCGTTTTCGTACGTTTTATTTGGATCCCCCCTTCCCTGCTTGCCTTGCTTTTGTATGTGGTATACTTACCACCTCGTCACTAGGCCTTTGCTAACTAATGGTAGAAGCGACGTTTATTTTCCGTTTGGTGGTAATGTTCAATGAGATTTTTATTGTATTCGTTATGTTGGTTCTTCCTGCTGCTCACGCCTGTTCTTTGTCAAATTGCCACTACAGGACACATGCTACAAGAAAAACTTGGTGGCAGCACAAAGCGGAAAAGGTTATTTTATTTAAAAGCATTTCTGGGAATCCCAAATGGGGTAATAAAATTTTAGCAAAAAAAATAGAAAGCGTTTTGTGCTTCCTCTGCAATATACAATGAGGTACTTCTCGGACCCCATGAAAAAGATAGCTTTATTTTTTTTTAGAAAACTAACATAAAATATTCAACGGAGATTTATTTTTTATATGGATTCTTTTAACGCCCTATTTTTTAAATTTATGACGCAGGACGGACCGGTAAAAATATTTTGAAGCGCAGTTGGGCGTCACCTGCATTTGTGCCAACATTATATACATAAAAATTACATATATATACATATATATATTTTTTTTTTCGCGTGCGAGAAGCTGCCTGGAACACATGGTTTTTCTCCAAAATCTTATCATGAATATAGGAGATATGATGCAATCGTTTATGGGGAATGCCCCAAAAAAGTTCCCCCAGCGCAAAAAAAAATGGGGAGACCTTTTAAGTAATATTTTACAAACAACGCAAAAGAAAAGTATGGATAAATGCACATATGACAATATTCGTAAAAGAGACCAACATGATTTTGATACCATGCGGTACCATTCTCACTTCCTTACTTGTAACTGCTTGCCTAAAATGGCTAACTTAAAATTGAAAATGGTTTTAAATGTGAAAGGGGTAACCACAACAAGTGTTATTCAAAAAAAAAACGTTCTATGCATTCGTAAGAGCACTTAATTGTATACTACTTACACGAGTAGAGTAGCTTACATACGAATTGCATTCCAATAACAGAGGGTACAAGGGGCCTTTTAAAAAGAGCGTTTAAATATAGCTTATCAGTTGTCATAAACACATTTAAGGTCTACTGTTCGGGGATGGGGTTTGGCCTCTTTTCCATTTTTTGTGTTGCACTGAGCCATTTCGACTTCATTGGAACATTCCATTTTTTTGAAGTGCTCAGAAGCAGAGTTAACACTTTTAAAAGGGTAATATATAATATTTCGACAAAACAGACAGAAAAATTGGCAAAAAATAAATAAACTTTCTTCACATAAAAGTTTCCACAAGCTTAAAGTGCCTGAACGTTTTTGCCACTATCTCCTTTTAATTAATACTAGCAGCCTATGTGTGGAGTTTTTTCTCCTTTCCTCTTTGTCTGGGGGGGTAAAGCAGACAAGAAAAAAGGTGAACATTTTTTGTATTCACCTAAGCATACATAGAAAAAAAAGCGATGCACACAGTGTGTTGTTATGTGAGTAATCGCTTATACGAACAACATCTTTTTGCGGGTCGCTCGATACATAAGGTTAGAAATAAAAGAGGGCCACAAAACCTCTAGCAGGTGTAACAACTCAGTGTAGCGTACGTGAAGTTTTCTTTTTTTGTTTTTTTCCCCTTTTACACTTTACAAATTAAAAACAAACAAATTATTCTCCTCTACCCGCATACCCATCATGCCATGTGCATCGCTAAGCATGTTATGCTTCGCACTGAGGATGTAAAGTGGGATAGCGAAGCTTCTCAGCACAGCCGACATTGCATCGGTGTGCAATTTTATTCGTTAAAAAATATAAAATGAAAAAAGTAAATCACACGAAATGAGCTGCAGCAGCATATGACGTAATAATTTTTTTTGTTAACATTCAACGCGCGAAACTGCAATCAGTTTGCATAATTACGCACATTTATTTCCTGGCCAAAATCATAGTTCTCTTTGAGAATAAAAAAGAAAAAAAAATGGACGGGCCAAACCAGGACTTGTAACAAAGAGGATGTAAAATTTTACTTTGACTTATCATATTTATGAGTTATAATTTTTTTTTTTTTTTTTTTTTTTTTTTTGGAAGTGCCACGCGTTATGCCTTTTTATGGATGGGTATTATGTGTATATATACGCATTTACGTGTAAAAAGAAAAACACAATTTTTTTTTTTTACACTGTTAATCAGTTTCGCAGGTATCATGTCGCTTTAAAATAATTGGCAAGCTTGGTAGCATTCATTTATGCAATGTTTTATAACATTTCACGTACGAAAAAAAAAAAAAAAAACTGCATAATGGTCAACGTTTTGTGAATTAAATTCTACTCCACATTTTGTTCTTTTGGTTTTGTTTCGTTTAGTTTGTTTTTATTTTATTTTTTTCGTTTATGCTAATTTTTACATCCTCAGAACTTTTTTGCGAATTAATTTAAAGGATGCGCAACAGGGGGTGGGAAAAATAAGCGTACATGGACCTCCTTTTCCGTTCGTCTTTTTTCCACCTCATTTGTTTAAAAAAAAAATTAAAATACAATAAATACGTGAAAGCGTAAAAGTTTTACATTTTTACTGCCGTTTTAAGTGTGTACCTTTTAACCACTCAGAAGAAATAGCCACCATATCGAAGTTAGCTCAAAATTGCAACGTCGACGTGGCACACATGTTGTATGTATAAAATATGCACAATTACATACACACATACCTAGCCATGCCTACATGTTTTCACACGTGTATGCGTCGTCATTTACCGCTGCCTTCGTACTGGACAACTTTGTAAAATTTCTGTTCCCACATGTACCCAAGGTTGCCATTTTTTTTTTTATTTATTTTCTGTTCAGGGGCATTTTGGCACGACCGCAATGTTCACAATTTGTTCGTTTTGTTTACGCACCTGTTTGTTTATGCTGTTTTAATCTGTTTAATCTGATTAACCTGTTTGTCTCTTGGCTGCTTTCCTCGCTTGCTCGTCTGTTGCGTAGGGAATGCCATTTTATTTTTTTTTTTTTCCAGTGGACGGGAAACCTGCTGCAACTCCGTCGCAATTTTCGTCTCACAAATGAGCTTCACGATTTTATGCATTTATGTCCCAACATTATTTTTACCATATATCACAATTTATGCGATAGCAATGGCAAAAATACCTTCACAACAATATTTGTCGTGTTTGTCATTTGTGTTTTAATGCTTATTAAATTCTGTGCCTTCGTTACATGTGGTGTTCCTTTTTTTTTTTTTTTTTCTCCCTATTCATTCGTCCGTTTCGGCAATGTCCTTTTGTGTTTATGTGCATATGTCACAGTTTGCTTCGCTATGCTCGGGAGTATTTACAATATGGTGTACTATTTCGCTGTATTCTTTATTTTGAAGGTTTCTTCATTGTTTTTTTTACTTTTTCTTTTCCTTTCGCTTTTCTATTCGGTCACGCACCAAGTACCCGCTCTTCCCATCCTTGAACCACCGCACGTGTACATGTCTTAAAGCAAAATATATTTTATCAAAATTGAGAATTAAAAAAACACTTGCCTGAACAGTTACGCGCGTAAACTATTCAAATACATAGCAAATTTGTTCGGATCAAAAAGAACGTTGTCTCCTTTTTCCTCCAAAAGAGTATATACATTTATGTATGCATGTGTACCAACTCATATATGTATCATCCCCCTTCTAGTTCAAGGAAACAATCCTGTTTTGTCCTTAGGTTAACAGATTTTCCAGCAATAGTCGAAGTGGTCACAGGATTATTAATAGGTTTTTTTTTTTTTTCTTTCTTTTGCGTTGAAAACCGTTCAAGTGGAATATTAAAATCGAAATCGATCAGGGTGTAATATCACAGGAACAATAAGGAGAAACATTTTACGCTACCCCCAAAAGGTCGCACAAAAAAGGGGTGAACAAAGCAAAAGAAGGAAGGAACTATATAAAAAAAAAATGTGAGAAAGGAATCGCTTGGAACAAGCACAAGAAAAAACACACCACAAAGTAGCATTATTTAGAGCGAATAATGCTATAGTACAAACGAGGGGAGGACAATTCCACAACGAAGCACAGTAGCAGCTGCGTATTGTAACGATCGAGTTGCGGACCAATCGAAATTTAATGCTTCGATTAACATCCCCCCTTCGCAAGGACTCTTATGATGATAATTTTCCATGCCAAAGAAGAAAAAAAAAAAAAAAAAAACACATGAAAAACATTTAGCATGAGAAATCACCTCGAAAAAAACGCAAAAGGAACAACAGAAAAGAAACATCAGAGGCGCAACACAAATGAAAAGGAGAAGGAGGAAGAAGAGAGGGGATATGGAATGAACACAATTTATCACCAACGTGTTGGCAAAATGGAGGCCATACGAATTGACTCCTTTTGCAGGAAAAAAAGAGTTCCAAAGGAAACCCTTTGGAACATTGAGAATTCACAAGAGGACGATGAGAACATGATATGCTTCAAAAATTTCGTCCAGAACGACCTATCGGATGATAACGTGAACGGAAGGGGCGACATCGTTTTCGACCATTTTGGAAATGCACAGAGAAGGAACAGCAGATGGGATATCCGAAGCCAGAGTGGAAGTAGAAACGAAAGCTGGAATGGAAGTGAAAAGAGAAGCAAAGTTAGACGCAAGAGTATGCGCGATAAGCTGATCATTTTCAACAACAAAGGCCAGAGCCGCAATCCTCCTCGAGACCACAAACACAATTCAATAACAGGTCTGAATTTAACGAACTACATGATGGTGCCAGATGATATCAGGCACAAGTACACCAAAACGTACTTGTTCCAAATATCCAAAAGACTGCTAGTCATGAAAAAACCATGGAGATTACCCAAAAATGTAGAGCTACAAATCAACAATGTGTACCATTTGTCCAATTACATAAAAGTGCTGGAGAGAATTTCGAATGAATATCTGAATGACCCCCCTATCAATTATTACTACAAAGGGTTAGAGCTGTATAACAAAAATGTGTTTGCAAATATAGACTATTTGTTAAAGAAGGTAGACATAAAAAAGAACCCCAAGAATTTTCAATACAGGAATTTAATTAAGGTAAATGAGTGTTATTACGATTTAAGCACCTTTGGAAAATCTCCCAGTGCTATGCTTTATCAATCCTATGTCATATGGGATGTTCATGGGAGTAGTTTAACCCTAGAACAGGAATATGAAAATTTTTTCAACTCACAAATTATGGATTATAGCTTTGGAGAAAAGGAGTACCCAAGTTTGAAATACATTTTAAGCATATGCAGCTCAATCCTATTTTGGCTCAACTTTAACAAAAAAGACAATTTTGCTATTATTAATTACCATAAAATTAGCTCCTTCATTTTGTTAATTTTTTCTTGTGTCATGCTAGTCATAGATAACACTTTAACCTTTTCCCAAATTCAAGAAATCCTTTACAAATCGTCCAAAATAAGTAACAGCGATAAGGAGGATGTAGAGGATAGCGTCGACACGAATATATCTTCAAACTATTTTGGAAACAAATATGATACTGTTTCTAACGAGGAAGAATCGGACGACACGTATAATTTGTTAGCGAGAGGCGAAGCAGAAAGCGGGGGGCATTCTCGTATCTCACTTGATAACAGAATGACAAATCTGCAAAGAGACAAATATGAGGGAAGTGGAAGCATATATGACAACGAGGAGGATTCCGACCCTCGCAGTAAGAACTATAAGGATAAATCCCTCGAGAATGATTCTTATACGAAGAAAAGAGAAACCTCTGATTCCTTGGATGATATCTACCATTTTGGAAATTGCAACAGCGAAGATTACCCCACAACATATGACAACCATTTTAAGGGAGGCAATATAACTTTCACCAGGAACGGATATAAATCTAGTAAGCCCGTCAGTAATCTTAGCAAAATGCAATACCATACATTAAATTTGAATGGGAGGAAAAGTGTAGAATACGATAATGAGATGGACAGTTCCCAGAAAAAGAAGAAGACCAAATTTTCAAACTCCTGGGGATTTGATCTAACAAATAGAGAAAATTACAGAAGTAGCAATAAAGTGAAGGATCACCATTTTTGGATCCCATTTGACTACTGGAAGTCTTCTCACAAAAGATATTTTTTTTACATTTATGAATTAATGAAAAATAAAAATAAAAAAGTCGAAAATGTGCCCTTTAAGTTGAAGAGCATTATTTTTAGCGACTACGTCATGTGCTCCGTTTCGGTTGAGGTGTATGAAATTATTTACAAAGATAATCAGGAATTTCACCTGGACGTTTTGTCCGATTGTGGGTACGACACCGCTGGGGCAGAGGCGTCCACAGGTGAGGGCACAAGCGAGGATCAGAGCGAAAGCGTTGAACCAAGTGGTGAGCGAAGTGGTAAACAAGGTGCTAAAGGAAGTAAAAAAAAACATAGTGGAAACCAACGTCATTACCAATGTAACAACCCTAAGGAATGCACCGAAGTTGATGAGTCCAATGAGGACTACACACGGAATGAAGAACCAAAGGGAGAAGGCCTTCCTGAAGATGAATCCTTTCACAGGAACTCTTCTGTGGAGAGGAATTTAAAATCAGGAACCCCAAATGGACGCGATTCGAATGCTCCCTTGAAAGGAAGGGGTAGCAGCGATTACTCCGACGAGATTATTCACCACCGGGCTAGCGTAAAAAAAGGAAACGGAAATATCTATGGAATGTATAAAAAACCCGGTGGTAGAAAATTAAGCGAGGATAACATTCCATACGACGAAAGTGATACCCCTAGCGGGTTAATCGTACCAAAGGGTGATCTCACCGCGAACAGCATTTTTATAGGTAGGAACTATGAACCAACTGCGTGTGTGAGAAATAAATTGAAGAAGACGTCTTCTTGTTACAGATTAAGGAACGGCTCAAATGGGTTCCGTGACAGCTGCGAGGAGGCTTCACTTAATACGACGAATCGATCGCATTTGTCTAACTCGGCCAATTCGTTTAGTGGGTCAAACTATGAACGAAGTCTGCAAGGAAAACTGGGGGAGGCAGATGGAAGGGGCACGAATTCGCATCGGTTCCACGTCCGTAGCGGCAAGGGCCCCATCACACACAAAATAAGACAACATGGTGGGAAGTACTATTCTCCCAGATCCCTCAGTTCAGTTTCTCCAGAACCAACATCGATAGATCACGTGTACAGTTACAAAAATGAGGGCATTCCGGACAGTGACAATATTCAAAGGGGAAGGTCCAAAGGGAAGATAACTACCAACGCGCAAGTAAAGAGGAAATCGTGCACATTTTTTCCGCAAAAGAAGGTTAGCAGCTCGGAGGAATTGCATGAACCACTCTCGTCCGTGATGAACAAACCCACGTGCGATGTGTCGAATGTAGGAGAAGCGGAACATAAAAAAGACTCCACATGGAAGGAAAAAAAAATTTACGAGTTTTTAAGGAAAAATAGAAAGAGAAACCAGAAAAAAGGGGAAGATCGAAATAAAGGTGTATCGTCTGAAAAATCAGGATATGAATACTTTTTAAAATGTAACAACCTAAGTTACAACATCGTGTCGTCGTACGAGAAGAACAAAAAAAAATATGTGACAATCGATTTCACACATGACCCTGAAGGGAATACCAAGGAACATATCATATGTGGAGATGTTCTCATACTAATTGGACACAAAAATATAGAAAAATTTCATAAAGGATTTTCAAGTTCGTATTCTTTCCATACTGGTTTTTTAAAGAAGGCCTCGTCCGAAATTCTTCACATAAGGAAAGAAGACATGGACATTAACAGCAATTACCAAAGCTACATTCCGGATGGCATGAAGCTGTCCATCATTTTGGACTCCGCTAATAGAAGTGACTGCATGAAAGCGTACAAAAGAAATTTAAGGGGTCATAACAAAATGGAAGATTTGAAATCGTTGAAAATTTTCGAAAAAAATAAATCCTTCGAGTCCATTGATTCGGAGCGTGCTGTGTATGATCTGCAAGCCAGCATAACTGCCATTTCGGCCCCTGATGGGGGAAGGCACAATAGGGGAGAGACGGGCGTCAGGGATAAGGGAAGAAGGAGGACAAAGGGAGAGAGAGAAGACGATTCAAATGAAGAAGAGGAGGAGGGAAAATCCAGATGGTGGAAGGAAAGAAGCGCCCACAATGTAGTGAATTGCAGACGGGAGCGTATGGCAACAGTGGACGACGATGAGGAAGAAGATGATGATGATGAAGAGTGCATAGAGCAGCGATGCGAACAGCACAGTGATAAGGAGCACGAGCCAAACGGGCCGAGCCATCACATGGGAGAAACAAGGCAGACATCACAGAAACGTAGAGAACGCGTGCGGTACACGTCACCAGAGCACAGGGACCCAAGGAACAAGTCAAACTGTAGCAATAGCAAGCAAATGGATTCCCATTCGAAGATAAATTATAGTGGTTACTCAATTTTCAACAAAAAGGAGCCCAAAATAAAATACAACGCTACGAATATAACGCAACTGTTAACATCTCTCTTTGGTTTTAAAAATAGAGAAGACAAATATTCTTTAACAAACAAACAAAGCGTATGTTCCTTGTTGTCCTCCAAAAGATCGTTTTCAAATTTAATTTCCTTAAAGGATTTTTTACAGAGGCAATATGAAGTAATTACCAACCCGACAGAGAGTATGTACAATTTTGTGAAGAATCATGTTTTGAAGGTAAACATTCCTTTGGTACAGTATTTAAAAAAAATAACTCATTTGTCGAATTTGAAAATTTATTTTTCTTTAAAGTTGTGCAACAATGATTTGAGTAAGTCTCTCAATTTTATTGTCTCCATATGGGGAATTAAGATTTTAAAAAAAAAAAGTTCCATTAGATACTCCTCAACTTTAAACGAGCTCCCAGAATTTAGGGAAGAGTTTAAAGAAATCGTCCCCCATGATGTAGACATAAAAACACCCACTGAAATAGCAAGGCATGTAAATGATGTGGACAGTACAAATGTCAGTTGTACGCATGTGGATGTGTACGAAAAATTGGAGGACAGTGCAAATCTGTTTAAGGAGCATGAACAGGTACCTGCAGGTAAGGATGCAGAAGTGGTACTTTCGAAAGAACCGTGTAGGAAGGTGAGCTCGCTACATCGCTTGGAGGAGACGTTCGAATGGACAAAGGACCCTGGGGATGTCCTACACCTTAAGGAACTGCATCCCTACAGGGAGAGCGAGGCGGTGAGCTCGACAAGTGTGGCAAGAGGGGAAGAAACAAGTGAAGTGAAAATTGGTACACAAAAGGAAGTTACACCCAGCGAACCAAATGAAGTCTCCGATCAGAACAAACTCAAGGAACCCTCGACGCAAAAGATGCAAAACGAGGGCCCCTCCGAAGTGATCACAAACATAGACGGAATAAAAATTGCCAAGATGGAAATCAACAAGACATACTACCAAATGAGGGAAGAAACAAATTTTGCAAAATCGAAAGAGGAACCTGATTTAAGAAAGAATGAAAAGGAAATGGTCCAGGAACATCCTAAAAAAACTATAGAGGACAATGAAAGTTTTCTGAATAGCATGATGGAAAAGGACGAGCCATCAAAAGGGATAGAACAGACTAACACAAAAAATGATATATTAAAAAAAATAGAAGGAAATGATTTTTTCTACGGAAAATTGCCCAGTGGTGAATTGGTAAAAATAAAAGTAAATGACACGAACGAGTTAGGCACATACGACAGCATGCCTCTTCTACTGATTGAACCTGTGGATGATTCAGGACATCTTAAACGTGCAATGAGTGGCTTAAGTGTGAAGGAGGAATCTGATAAAAATGAAAATGCTACCCTGGAGAAGGCAGCTAATACAGATTGCCTAGTAAACGATTTAGAAAAAATGTATGACCAAAAGGTTATAAAAAAGAGCAGCATTGAGTCCACATTGAGTGTAGAAAGTGATAGGTCCACTATGTCTAGGTATTCCACGTCCCTTGTAGTGCCCCCCCCCGCTTCTATCTCGAAGGGGGAGCTGCCCGCGGGGAAAAACGTGGAGGTCAAAATAGACCAAAAAATTGACGCCAAAATAAACCAACAAGTTGACCCTAAAGTGGAACAAAAGGCTGACACTAAAGTGGACGAAAAGATGGACCCTAAAGTGGAACAAAAAGCTGACACTAAAGTGGACCCAGGCGTGGTAGTGAAGCCCCCCGCGCTAGCAACCAAGCAAATGACCAAGCAACCAGCTACCGAGGGTCAAACAAAGGCAAAGGCCGTGGAGGCGATCCTCAGGAAAGCAAAGGAAAAAAGACCGCCGCCCCCTCTACCATCCGCGCTACAGAAAAGGCCCCCTGCGAAAGCGACCACGGAGGGCAAGGAACCAGGAGGGGATACAAAAAAAGAAAGTAGCGTAAAGCCAGGGGTGCCCAAAAAAATGGGGAAGAAAATGCCAGGCCCCCCTCCCAAACCCCCATTTGCATTAGGTAAAGGCATAATGGGAGAAAAAACCAAAATGGGAATGAAAAAATGCCCCATGAATTTTGCACCTAAGAAGTTCGTCAAAGTCCAAGAAAAACGACCCCTAGGAATTAAACTACACTGGCAACTATTACCAACGCACAAAATTGAAGGAACCGTTTTTAATGAAATAAAAACACAGGAAGCAAAGTATACTCTAATAGACACAAAAGCTGTTCACAAATTATTCGCTCGAGTAAAAGCAGAAAAGAAAATTGTAAAAAAAAGCACAGAAGAGAAGAAAAAAAGCAATGAAGAAAAACTAATAACCGTTTTAGATAGAACAAGAGCTCAGAACATCGGAATCTTGTTACGATTTCCAATGAGCACCCAAGAAATTGTGCAGAAGATAAGCGTATTCGACCTTGAAAATATGAGTACAGAGTTTTTGCAAAAGGTATTGCACATTTTACCAACGAAGGAAGAAAGTGACAGCATTTTACAAAAACTGGAACATGAAAATGTGAAGGAAGAACATTTTAGAGATGTTGAAAGGAAGCTAATTCCATTTGTTTATATGGATAAATGTCAATGTAAGATAGAAATTTGTTTATTTTCATTAAAATATGAAAAAATGATAAATGAAATAAATAAGGATTTGGATGTCTATGACGAGGCTGTGAAGGAAGTACGATCAAGCATACGGTTGAGGTCTTTGCTCAAGGCCGTTCTCAAATGGGGCAATTATGTCAACTATGGTGTTAATGACAATGAAGATTTAGTTGCTCTAGGGTTTACCCTATCATCAGTGTTGAAGCTGACCGAATTTAAATCGTCCATAGATAATACCATCACCTCGTTGCACTATATCACTGTTAGTCTTTGTACATATTTACCAAATTTAAATATGAACCTTCTAGAAAATGACCTAAACTCCGTTTCAGTGGCGTCCAAAATGTCGTCCGAAACGGTAGATATTCTACTAGCTTCAATCGATAAAGATATAAATTACATCGGAGAGCAGTTGAAATGTACATACGAAGAAGTTTTTAAAGAAAAAATGAAAAGTATTTTACAAGACAGCGAAATGAAGTATGCCAATGCACAAAAGAGATACGAAGAAACGAAAAAATCTGTGCAGCAGTTGGGTACCTACCTTGGTGAAGATATGTCAAAAAGTCCAAACCTCGAAGGCATATTTATTGTATTATCTTCTATCGTGGATAATTTTACCAAATGTTACAAAGACATCTTGGCCAATCCTAAGAAGTTTTCCATAATGCTAAATGATGAAAATTTACTAGATGAATATTACACCTTTTTTGGAAAAAAAAAAAATAAAAATCTTCCCTCCTCTAAAAATTGCACCCCGATAAGCAAAGAAGCAGTAACGAAAGAACAAGGTGCAACAAAAGAGAGTGAGAAAATAACTGGGAAGATAAGAATTAATAGACTCAACAGCTGCATGGGTGTAGTCCGAAAAAATGATAACGCCAAGAGTTCCATGTTTCAGCTGAGGACTAAATTAATGCAGGACATACAGAATAGGGCTTTCATCAAAGTGGGGAACTCGGATGGGGACAAAGTGAAATGTGAACCCACGATCCCTTTGTGCAACCAGAAAGATACGCCTATCCCGAATATTGCATTGGGCAAAAATGACATGAGGGTAGAAAGCGCACAAGGTTTAAGTGAAAACGGGAATTGCGTCGATACAAAGGGGGCAACTGTGCCTCATGGATGCGTCTTGGGGGGGGAGTCGAAAAGTAGGAAAAACTCGGCTGGAAGTGTGAATGAGACGAGGTTAGAGCCAAAAAAACCGATTGGAAGTGTAAATGAGACGAGGTTAGGGGTGGATAATTCTCTCGGAAGTGTAAACAACAAGACGAGGTTAAGAGAGGGATTAAACTGTGATGAAAAACCGAATGGAGATATGGCCGCTGAGGTGAAACTGACAGAGAGTCCAAAAATCGAGAGCAAACCTAACGTGAGTACCAAAATTGAGGACAAAATAAACGATGAGATAAGTGGACTCGTGGCCGAAGAAAAAATTGTGGAATAAAAAAGGCAAGCAATATTGAAAAACTAAGTGAGGGCAAACTATTTCGAATATGGTATCGCGCTGTTATTATAATTTTTTTTTTAAAATAAAAGACTGTAGGACAAACGTGACACTGTTTAATTTTCCCCATAGTTACATCTGCACCCATTTGTCCTTTTTTTTTTTTTTTTTTTAAATTCAATCGAGAAGGCATATTTAAAGGTTTCAGGATTTACAAACGTGTACATATATTAAAATGTTGGCCTACGAGTGTTTAAGGAGCGAAAATCTTTTCTGTAAAGTACAAAAATTTCCATTTGTTTTTATGGCGGCATATTTATACAGTGTTGGATGAAGCTACATTTTATGGAGGCACAATTAATGTGTTTCATAAAATGAGCATCTGACACTGCGCTGCAAATGTTTGTCTGTTTTTCCTTTTTTTTTAAATAATTAAGGGGAACGTATAAAATATTGCATGCGATGAATTGTATATGTTTGTTTTATTATTTTTTGGGGGGAGGTACTTATTTTTATGCATATATTGACTTGCGGCGTAGAGCTGTATGAAGCTGCACCTTGACGCGTACAATCGCATTTTGTTGCGCATCATGGCTACCTGACTTCATGGATCCCCATTGTTTATGTCTTCGTGCGTTGGTTAGAATTAAGGGGAAAATCCGACGCGTAAATTAAAGCCGTGTGTTTTAAAAGGATTAGGATTCACAGTAAATTAATTTTTTCATTTTAAAATTAACTGCATTCATCTTTAATTTGTTGTATGAGTTGTATTCTTAATAGGAAAAGAAGAAACCGGAATTCGTAATGTGCATATGTATATGTTTACACCTGTGAATACCTGTGTCCCACTTTTCCTCTTCGTTTGTGTCATTTTGATTGTACGCACCTTTCGGGTGTGCCTATATCGCTCATTTTGAATTTTTACAACTTTTTTTTTTTTTTTTTCCAAATAAAATGAAGAATTTCTTTAAAATTGCTAAAATTTTGTTGCCCCAACGTGGACATCACTACAGTCGTGACTGGTGCTGTTTAGCCAACTAGTAGTTCTGGGTCTTTTTTAAAAATGTCATGAGCCCATTTACATTTTGGACAAATTACAAAGGTTCATTATTGAAGGCAGTTTGTTTTTCTTTTTCAATGCGCTTAGGCTTTTTGTAAATCAACTCATAACACGTAAAGGATTAATGTATACACAGGAGCATTTGAGCATACTCAGGCATACACACCGGTGGGAGAGAAAATTGAAAACCTATTCGCAATAAAGCTGTAGGGTGAAAGTGGATATCTTTTTTTTTTTTTTTTTATGTTGCTTTATGATTTCTCCTTTTTTGTGCCTTTTTAATAGGCTGCTTTTTTAAAGAGTGTCTATATAAGTACTGCTTTTAGTGGGCACTTTCAGAAGTTCTTATTTAAAGCGCAAATTTATACTTGCGTTGTTAATTATTTTTATGGGTATACTTTGAAGCACTAACATGTTTTTTTTTTTTTTTTTTTTTTTTTTTTATGTTGCTTTATGATTTCTCCTTTTTTGTGCCTTTTTAATAGGCTGCTTTTTTAAAGAGTGTCTATATAAGTACTGCTTTTAGTGGGCACTTTCAGAAGTTCTTATTTAAAGCGCAAATTTATACTTGCGTTGTTAATTATTTTTATGGGTATACTTTGAAGCACTAACATGTTTTTTTTTTTTTTTTTTTTGCGCTTTTAAATTCGCTTCTTTTTACCGGCACGTGTTGCCATTTTTTTTAAAATACCATGTACATACAATGACGAAAAGGGTAACATATCCTCTAAGGAGAAGTATGCACACGTGCTATGCGCCTATTTAGGTTTGCGCCCCTTGACCTTTTTTTAAAATTTCTTCTGTTGCGTCGAAAAATGCCAGAGTTGGCACACCCAACAGGAAATAGTTGTGCTACTCTCAAGGAAAGGCAAAGGACTGCGGGCAAGCACATGATTTGGTCAAGCTTAATACACATTCACGCATAACGTATATGTGTATATGCATATGTTCGCACGTAACACCGCACGAGTACACCATTTGAACAATTTGAACGTGGCGCATTTTAAAAAGCTTTCACTCTTTTTACGAAAAAGAGTAAACAACTTGCTCTTTATTTTGTATTCCGCTAGAATTGGTAAGAGGGTGTACATTCTTGTTTCGTTTTTTTTATTTTTCCCATTTCATATCGTATGCGAGAAAAAAAAAAAATAAAAAATAAAATTAATAACATTAAGAACGAACGATGAGTCATGAATAGAATGTACGAAATTAAACACCATTGCAAAAAGATACTAAAAAAAGGAGGTAATTAGTTTTTTCCAATTTAATACGCAAATGAGCAAAGGAAGAAAACCCCAAAAGGGACACCACAGAATGAGGCGTTATTTTGTGATTTGATATGGCCACACGAAACAATTTTCAAAGTTGATAACACAGAAAAAAGCCCTCCCCGTTTTTTATCAGTTGCACGGCGCCATTTTCCCCACCCCCACATTTTCGTGCGCAGTATTTCAAAACGAGTTATAAGAATGGGATGAAAGTATAAATATACTTGTTGCGTGAAGTTTTTTTTTTTTTTTTTTTTTTTTCCTTTTTTCTTCTCATGAAGTTTATATTCGTAGGCATGTCATAATGGAATGAAAAGGAATCCTGTGGCCCCATATGCATTACGCGTATATGTATACCCATATATGCATATTTCTTGTTTTATTTTATTTTTTTTTTTTTTGCATATCTTGATTGTAATAACGTTTTTAGCGTTTTCCCGAATGCGCATCTTTTAGCGTTTTCAGATGCGCGTTTTTCATAAGTTTTCCACGTTCACATTGCTCACCTGGTTTACACTGTGCTTACGCGATTTCGCGCCTTGCCCAGTTCTGCGACTGTTGACATCCCAGGGAGAGGCCGCCCCCTGTCAGTTTCCCTGTTGGCCTTATCGACGAATTGTGCTCTCACGCTGAAGAACCTCCGCACACGTGAATACATGCCTAAACACGTGAGATATACAGCAACGAAAGGACCCTCGAATTTGTCGAAAGAATGAATTCCAACCACCCCTTATCTGTCGCAGTGGCAGATAGTCTGTCCACGTATGACATCCAGAATGAGTCGTTTCGTCTAGGGAATGTATCCATCGAAGGAGACAAATTTATATGCGTTAAAGAAAATGTGAACGAAAACACCCAAGTGGTAGTTATAAACCTGCATAATAAGATAAGCACGCGGAAGTATATGAAAGCAGAGAGTGTTATTATTCACCCTAATGACCCCATATTAGCATTGAGAGGAACGATAAAAAATGTGAACACGATATTTTTACAAGTTTTTAACATAGAAACCAAGGAAAAAATATGTTCCTTAAATTTAAATGAGTACATGAATTATTGGAAGTGGATAAATAATGACACCATTGCCATTGTCTGTGAGAAGAATGTGTACCATTGGAACATAGATATTCACAATAGTAAGAAGCAGAAGGAAAATTACACCTTGACGAAGGTTTTCGAGAAGGCACAAGTGTTCATTGACAACAATTCTCAAATTTTATACTATGCAACAGATAAGGATATGAAATGGTGCATTCTGTGTGGAATATCTACACAGGATCAAGGAAAAAGCATCGATGGGTACATGCAACTTTATTCGTGTGATAAGAAATTGCACCAAACGATTGAAGGATTTATAGGATGCTTTGGATCATTTATATTTGATAACTGGGAGATAAAGCCGCTCTTCTGTTTTGTCGAAAAGAAAAATAATTCAACTATATCGAGAATCCACTTGATGGATATATATACGAGCAAAACGGAGGGGGGCACGATGCCATACAAAATTGTGAAGGAAATTAATCTGATAAATGAACACATTAGTGATTTCCCAATTTATATCAGCCTAAACACTTTGCAAGGGGTGATATACATGGTCACAAAATGCAGCTATGTGTACATATTTGATGAAGGGACACTAACCCCACTGGTGAAGGAAAAAATTAGCGAAGATAATATTTTCATTTGCTGTGATAGCAAAAATGGGGAAGGAATATATGCGGTAAACAAAAAAGGCAAAATTTACTACATCACCATTAACTACCCCAATTTAATAAACCATATAAAATTGTCCAATTTTGATAATAAGGATAAAATTATAAAAAATTTTTGCGTAAAATATGGATACCCAGGGTGCGACTACATAAGTGCTTACAAAAAATGCATTAACGAAATGGATTTTAAAAAGGCCTCTAAAATTATATGTCTACTGAAGAACACCAAGCCTTATGAGGACTACTCGAGCTCAGTTGCCGAAGCTGTTTTGATTATGACTAGAAAAAATGCAGACATTAGAATTATCCCCCCCTTGCGAACACAGCAAGTGCTGAACAGCTTCAAATCCAAGAAGAACGCATCAGGACAGCTATCCCCGCTTCTTCTATACTTTTCAGTGCTCCTCGAGTATGATAAGTTGAATACATACGAATCGATCGAGTTGGTGAAACCAGTCGTTTTGCAAAAGAAGAAGGAATACCTGGAAAAATGGATTAAGGATGATAAGTTAACCTGCTCGGAAGAATTGGGAGACTTAGTCAAAGTGCTAGATTTGCGATTAGCGTTGAATATTTACCTGAGGTGTGGGGCGCACAATAAAATAATTTCCACCTACTGCCTTCTTAATATGTTTAATAATGTCCTCAGCTATTTGAACAACTTTAAACAAATCTCCTTCGATTTTGTCAGCATATTCATTGTCATTGTGAATTACGAATCTCAGTACAGTAACGAGAAAGACGCGAGTTCTACCATAACAGATATAAGTAGCTCCTCGAAAAACGAAGCTATGGATTTTTTCAACGATAGCAGTAATAGTACAAGTGATAGCAGGCAGGGAAAAGGTAGTAACAACGAAGTGGCAGTACAGTACGTAAAATTTCTGTGTGAAAATAACATCCCATTTGATATCAATAATATTATTGACTATCTGCTGAGTAAGAAAAAGTTACAAGAAGCCACCTCGATACTGCTGGACTTTTTGAAGGACAATAAACCGGAGCATAAAAATTTACAAACCAAGTTGTTTGAATTTAACTTGTACAACAATGTGCAAGTAGCAGAAACTCTATTCCAAATGGATATTTTTACCTACTATGATAAGAACAGAATAGCTTATTTGTGTGAAGAGAAGGGATTATTTCAGAGGGCCCTAGAAAACTACACCAATTTGAACGACATAAAAAGGGTCATCACAAAATCATCGTGCTTTCAGAAGAATACAAATATCAATAACATGGACGGGTCTATCCCCAACAGAGGGATTTCCATCGATTGGATTAAAAAGTACTTTTCTACGTTAAGTGACTCTGTGTGTCAAGATATACTATTCGATTTCATGAAAGGGAACAAAATAAATATGGAGGTCGTCATTTCGATCTGCGTCCAGTACTATAATAAAATAGGTATCAAGAAAATTATCAACAAATTTGAGGAGAATAAAAACTACGAAGGAATTTTCTACTTTGTTAGTTCGATCCTGACCCATTTGCCTAACTTAACCAACAAAACGACAGATCCCTTATCCTATGGAAACATGAACGATGACACGTCATCCATTCTACTCGCATCTGACATCGGATCGCACTACGGCAACGCGGAAAATTCCTCAAACCTGAAAATTGAAGATGTTCATTTTATCATGTTTAAATATATTGAGGCGTGTGTCAAGATAAACAACATACAAGAGTTAGACAGAATTTGTAAAGACAAAAATGCAATGTACAATCCAGAACAAATTAAAAATTTCTTAAAGGATTGCAAATTGTCCGACCCCCGTCCACTCATATACGTGTGTGACATACATAACTATATAGAGGAGCTCGCGGAATATTTGTATAAAAATAGCTTGTTGAAATATATCGAAGTGTACGTAATTAAGGTTAATCCAAATAATGCTCACAAGGTGATCGGTGTACTCTTGGACCTGGATGCCTCGGAAGACTTCCTCCTCAATCTGTTGAACAATATAAAAAATATTTCCAATATAGGAAACCTAATCGAAATAGCAGAAAAGAGGAATAGGCTAAAATTGTTGTTACCCTGGCTGGAAAGCAGATCCAATGAAGGATATGAAAATATTGAACTACATAATGCTTTGGCCAAAATATACATTGACTTGAATAAAGATCCAGAGAATTTCTTAAAGAATAACAATTTTTATGATAAAAAATTGATAGGAAAATATTGCGAAGATCTGGACCCCCATTTAGCCTATACCGTGTACGAGAAATCGAACGGAGAGTGCGACGAGGAGTTAATCCATATAACCAGCAAAAATGGCTTATTCAAACTGCAAGCCAAATATTTAGTATCCAGACAGTCCATGGAATTGTGGATAAAGGTTTTAGACGAATCTAACAAGTACAGAAAAAACGTAATCGATCAGGTCATCGGATCAACGTTGATTGAATCTAATAACGCAGAAGAAATTACCGTCACGGTTAAAGCCTTTATTGAGAAAAAGCTAAGCAGTGAATTAATTGAGTTGCTAGAAAAAATCGTGTTGCATAATAGCGAATTTAGTGATAATAAGAATTTACAAAACTTGCTAATCTTGACTGCCATCAAATCGGATTCGAAAAAAGTGATGGAGTATATCAACCGACTTGACAATTTTTCTGGTCTACAAATAGCATCGGTTGCGTATCAGTATAAGCTGAGGGAGGAAGCCTTTGTAATTTATAAAAAGTTCAATTGCTACACTTTAGCCATGTCCGTGTTGTTAGATAAAATCCTGCAAGTGAGTAATAAAATCGCTTATCCAAATGAATTTTCTCGAGCGGGTTCATCTGTCTACAACGAGAGTGACGATTATGTGAAGCAGTTGGGAGAGGGAGGAGGCTATGGATATCAGGAGCGGTCGGACAATTTCTTCGGAGGCAGTAACGAGGCGACTGGCTCGCTCGGTGAATCTGAATCGCAGGACGCAGAGCAGCCTGTCCCAGATGCGAAAAGCTACGAAGATGACCTAAACAGAGCTATAGAGTACGCACAAAAGTGCAACAACAATGATGTGTGGTTCATTCTAGGAAAGGCGCAACTAAAAATAAACAAAATCATTGACGCCATAGATAGTTTCGTAAAATCGAACAACCCAGAAGCGTACAAAGAAGTTATAACAAAATGCAAGGAGAATAATTTTTACGAGCATTTAATAACATATCTGAACACCCTGAGGGATCAAAATTTGCTAAAGGATGTGTTGGTGGATTCGGAGCTACTCTATGCCTACGCGAAATTGAAAAAAACAACAGAAATGACTAAATTTATTGGTTCTACGAATTCCGCGAACTTGCAGCTAATAGGAGATAGACTGTTTAAAGAACAAGAATATGAAGTGGCCAAAATATTGTACGGCGGCATACCCAACAATCAGAAACTAACCTTTTGTTATTTGAAGCTGAAGGAATACTCGCTAGCTATAGAAGCAGCCAAAAAGGCGAAGAGTCTCAAAACGTGGAAAGAAGTAAACTTCATTTGTGTTAAGTACAAGCAGCTGAAGCATGCACACACAGCAGGACTTCAATTAATCATGCATGCGGACCACCTGGACGAAATTATTAAAATTTATGAAAAGAAAAAATACATAAATGAGTTAATGAGTCTACTGGAGAACGGATTAAACAATGAAAGAGCACACGTGGGAATTTACACCGAGTTAGGAATCCTGTACGCCAAGTACAAACCGGAGAAGTTAATGGAGTTCATAAGAAACTACGCAAATAAAATGAACACAAGGAAATTAATTGATGTTTGCCAAAATGAATACTTATTGAAAGAAGCTGTTTATTTGTACATATCGTACGATGAGTACAACCTAGCGGTGGACACCATTATAAAACACTCCCCCACTGCCTACACACCAGACACCTTCATGCAGGTGATTCACAAAGTCACCAATAGTGATATCATACACAAAGTAATTGATTTTTATATAGAAGAGCACCCATTAAATTTGTATAATTTGTTAAAAATTTTGGAAAACAAAATTGATAACAATCGATTAGTACAAACGTTGAAGAAGTCCAACAATTTACCTCTCATACAAAAATATCTGGAAGATATACAAGGGCAAAATATAACTGCTGTAAATGAAACCCTAAATGAAATTTATTTACAAAATGATGATTACATAAGTTTGAGGAACTCAATTGATGAATATGACAATTTTAACCAAACAAATTTAATCAACAAATTGGAGAATCACAAACTTTCAGAAATGAGAAGAATCGCAGCTCTGCTTTATAAAAAAAATAAAAAATATAAAGAAGCTATTAATCTTTCTAAGAAAGAGGAACAGTATAAAGATGCTATCGAAATTGCAAGAGTTTCCAAAAATAATTCCTACGTGGAAGATTTAATAAATTTTTTCATCGAAATTAAAAATAAAGAAGCCTTGTGTGCGTGCCTGATCGTTTGTTATGATATACTCAAACCAGACTACATATTAGAAATTGTTTGGACCAGCGGATATAAGGACCAAGCCATGTTATACTTCATTCAAGTTATTAGCGATTACACCAATCAGATCGACACCATGAAGAAGCAAATCGAAGACATGCAGAAGGAGAAGAAGATGAATAAATCTGCACCCAACGATTTTGCGGCCAACTCCATGTCTGGGCAATTCAACTACTCGCTCAACAACCACTTGTCCATCATGCCTCCTCAGAGTAGCTACATGTCCAGCAGTTCGCAGTACGACAAGTATGACATGTTTAACAACAATTCGCACTTTTGAGGGCAGGCCTTCCCCCGGCCAGTCGTGCGCCTCTTTCCCACCACTACCGTGTGCATCCCAAACGTTACGTAGCCCAGATAGAGATAAACACAGAAAACGGTTAAGGTGCATGGAAAAAGGTGGCCACGCTAAAATGGACAAAAAAAAGGGGGACAACTTGCATATGTTTACATGTCAGCATATGTGTACATTCTTATGATTACATATCCTAGTCGGAATAAATGTATAACACCACGTGTTAAGCACCCCGCTTCGGTGTGCGCTCACCTTTTTTTTTTTTTTTCTTTTTTCACGTCACTTCCTTTTTTATATTGTTAAACTTGTCGAAGGGACCACTTTTTTGTTATAAGCTAACTTCAAATAGCATAACTTACTAAACCAAAACAAAACAAACCGTGTGAGGCACATTTTTTTTTTTTTTTGCCCACCCCGCGTTATAGTTATCCTCAAAAAGGTCAGCTTTTGTGGGCTATACCTTACTTGGCTATTTCCCAAAAGTGACGAAAGGGTAATCATTTTTGCAAAAACAGTGGTGGTTATTAAAATTTTATTCAAAAGAGTTGACATAAATAACAAATTCAAATTTTGACATGGAATAAGCGGTAAGTGAAAGCCACACATAAAATATGACATGTGCGGGAGGTGTAGACAAAATTGGGAAGACGGGTACGACTGTTTCAGTTATAGGTTTGAGTATGCCAGCGTGGCCGTGACCCAGATGGAACAGCGTTTTGCCCGCACAAAAACATAAAAAAAGTACATACATTATTGCGAATGGCTGTGCTCTCGCACAAACGCCTAGGCTACATACTAAAAGGTGGGTGTATATGCCTCCTTGCATACTTACTCACATGTTCACACACGAGCATATACATATATATTTATATATAAATATACGTATGCGCGTATGTACACACATAAGGAACTGCAAAGTTGTTCAATTGAATTTAATCAAAAACAAGCTCGCAGCAAAATACGAACGTGGAAGGGGTGGCTTAAATCATTTTGTCTTGCTTTCTAATCAACTTGACGCACGCGGGGTCTACTTCACTAAATGCGTATCCAAGAGATTTGCATTTTTCGATTTTCTACGCGGGGAGAAAAGAAAGGAAAAAATGGGGAAAAACATGAAACAAAAAAGAAGAGATATGTACTGATGCACAGGCTCTTTAAAATGCAGCATGACTGTCTTCACCGAGCGCGGTAAGGTGAAAACAGTGCACCCGCCAAAACGCTGCAACGACGTAACCACGTTAAACGCAATTGTTGTTCCAAGGGAGGAGAAAATGCCTATAAATGACGAGGCCTGTTTTCTCCGGCCTTTACGGCTTCTCATTAAGTGCGTACAATTTCTTCCTCCTTCTGACAGGTGTCAGAACTTAGCGGATTTACAGCTGCCTTTTCCCCTTTCGGTTTGTCTTCCTGCGGTGCATACGGGACAAAAGGTATAAATAAACGTTTGGGTGCCAGGTTCAGGTGAGGGGTGTAAGTCGTCTTTTCATCTCTCCCTGTTGACTCGCTCCTTTCACGTTCTCTATTAACGCCCTCCTCTCGCGCACTACCTGGTCCAGCAAGAAGTGGTACACCTCAGGGTTGAAGTTCCTCTTGAACACCTTATAGATGAAGTCCCTGGACAGGGTGGTAAATAAGCCTAACAAAACAACTAGCCAAAATCGTAACGATTTTGCTAATATTACAGCTGTACCTAAGAAGTTATTACTGCCAAAGCACATGAAGGAGCAGGCCGCCACAAGGATGACGAAGGACAAAATGCTCATAAACACAGCGGTAAGCGGGAGAACATTCAAGTAGTATGTCTCCAGAAGCACTTTTAAATTGACAACTAAAACGGTCAGAAAATATGTGACAGTTCCAACTGTCCACATATCGTAAGGTGTCCCATCAGAACTCGGAATATTATAATAGGATAAAAAGTATAGAGGTAATAAGAAAACAACTAGGCCATGAAAAAGGCTGTTAATAACCCAAGATACAAATGTACTAATGTTAAAATAGTAATGATATATTCCTAATTTGTACAAGCTCGGAGTTACCAATGCTGTATTTAAGCTCACATCTTTGTCTAATATGGCATGTGCTATGACCGGAACACACGTAAACAAAATGTTATGAAGGTGGAGTAAAATTTCGTAGTATATTTTCTGCCCAGAATATAAAGAAAGCGATCCGAAGATGAACAAAGGGAAAATTAAAACAATATTTTTGTAAAACATGTATACCACCAATTTGCTTATTCTGGCGTAGGATAATCTACCATGTACTAGTAACAAATTCTTTAAGAACCTAAACTGACTGATACCATAATCTGAGGAGTTAAATGCCTGTACCCCTTCTTGCCCTCTAATTCCAACTCCAATGTTAGCTGTGTTGATCATATTTCTATCATTAGCTCCATCGCCTATGGCTAAAGTAATTTTTTTCAACAATCGATTGGCTGACGAAACAATTGCTCCTTTTTGGTATGGACTCACTCGGCCACATATCACAGAAGAGCATTTATCCGCAAGATAAAAAAATTTCCTTTCAAATTTTTTGCTCAACAAAATGTCTAGCAATCCCCCATCTACGACTAACACGTGGTTAAATGAGCTAATTAACATTTTGTAATCATCTGGACTTAATGATAAATTACTTTCTTCCTTGACAGTAAAACAACTCCTGAAAAAACCTGGTTTTTTATCATTAACTTTGGCATTAAAATCGTAGTGAGGCAAATTTAACGTTTTCTCAATATTGAAAATGTCCTGATTAATTTTATTCATCAGTGCTTCTTCACATGATATTAAGTCTGCAGTGTAGATAAACTGCTCCGAATAATTATCGATCAAATTTGCAGCAATGCCAATGTTCATTGCTGTTTCTATTTTATCGCCAGTCAGCATCCATATGTGAATACCTGCCAGTCTTAGATCTTCTATTGTGGAACTGACCCCTTCTTGTAATTTATCCTCTATCCCAGTTACTCCTTGCAAGGTTAATTTATTTTCAATAGATTCTGCCACGTTTTCTAAATTTTCTTCTCTGTCTTTTATACTTACAGTGGCTTCTTTATATAGTTTATACCATTGTGCGAATTCCGCTTCTGTTAATTCCCTTTGTGCGATACACAATGTTCTTAACCCTTCGTCTGCGTACGTTTCCATATGTTCAATCGTGATTTCATCTATCTCTGTCTTTTTTGCTAATTTGTTTAAAATCACACTTCCAGCTCCTTTGCAAAAAAGCATAATTTTGGACTCCTTGCAGTTTTTACAAGTTATTATGCCTTCTTCTTTATTCTGTGTATTTCCCTTTTGGGGGTTGTTACCTCCACTTACGAAGTGTTCATCCAGAGGATCTTTCTTACATCGAGAGGATTTGATCATTTCGTTTTTGGCAAGAGTCGAGTGTTCCCCCTTCGCACTTCCTACATGTTTCTGATCCTGTTGGTTCTTTCCACTTCCCCCATCATTAGTGCCTCTGACGGTACCCGTTCCGTCTTTGCCCTTACGTCCCTCATCACCAGCAGCGGCACCGCCACCTGTGTATGTAGCTCTGACGGGTATCCTACAAATAACGCTACTCATTTTTCTCTTGCTTGTAAATTCAACAATTGCCAACGTTTCAATTTCGTAAACCGTACCAAATATGCTAATTCCGTACTTACCATCCCTTCTGTACAAGAAGGTGATTCCAAAATGCTTTGCAGCATATACTAGGGCTTCCTCATCTGGGCTACTGGACGAATAGGTCGTCATGGGGTTCTTTCCATAATCACAAATGACTGAATGATTAATAGCCAAATGTAGGAAGAAGCCTATCACAGCGGCATGGTTAAAATGCGTCACATCGTGCAGATGATTTACCAAATCCTCATCTACTATATTTACATTTGGCGTTTTCTCCGTGGACTTAACGACGGGTTCTTCTGGAATGGCCATATTCTTTTTTTTTAAAATGTGTTTCTTAATTTCAGTTAGACCATTTCCATAAGAAATCCCATTAATGGCACATTTTCTGAACTCCATGACGTTGCATGTTAACGTTCCGGTTTTGTCCGAGAAAATGTATTCGATTTGTCCCAGTTCTTCTATCAAGCTGGACGTTCTAGGTACGGCGTTGAAATATATGTAGTTCTTTTCCTTTGCCTCCTTAAAGGTGATAACTCTAGTATGCGTTTTTTTCCGTTCATTTGAATTAGCATTCCCATTGGAGTTACTATTTCCGTTGTTGGTTCCCGTGCTGGTGTTCTTACCGCCAGTGTTAATCTCCCCATTTGTTGCCTCCTTCCTTTCAGTGCTTTGTTCTGGCGCCAAATTTATTTTCCACTTGTCGGTCTGATTGTTGTGCGCATGAACTTTCTCACCGGTTTCTTTTATGTCCAACTCCACTGAATTTTCATCTCGCAAACTTGCAGATTCCTTATGCATTCCGAAGGTGGGAATATCCGCCACCACTTTATGTATCATATTCTTGTCACATGAAATGAAATATGCCTGAACAACTTTTACAAAACTCATGGTGACAATCAAACTGATGGGAATAAAATTTGCTGTGATGACAACCCAGGAGAAAAAGGAAATAATTCCGACGATAAAAGGCTTTTTGGATTCTTGTAAGTTAAAAGGCAAGTACTTATATTTACTTTTCTTGGACATGCTTACAATCACTGCATTGTAGTAAGCGGATATGAAACATATAATCATTTGAATGAGCCAAATGATAATCGTCAGCCTATTGGTTAATATTTCTAATTTACTCGTTTTGATAATCGGTTTGGTAGAATTCATTTGTATTTTGGTTTCCTTTCCAATATATATAACTATACCAATAACCCAGTCGGTATTTTTTAACTTGCAACCTCTTAGAACGAAGTGTTTTTCGTCAAATGGGATTCTAACATATTTGTCTGCACTGTTGTCATTTAGCTCACCTATCCAATCCTCCTGTGTATTTCCAATGCTGCTACTATTTCTACTAAAATCTGCACTTGACACTTTTCTTCGCCTGTTTTCTATCAACTCTGTGGTTTCTTTTAATATTTCCGACAAATCGTCATTAGATTTTAGATCCGTTTTTTCATCCTTCTCAAAATAGATTGTACCATACATGGTCGTCAAATCTTTATTGGGTTTTTCACTAATTATAAATCCCTTCAATTTTTTTACCTTATCAATTGCTTTACTTCTATCCGACGTAAGAATGTTGAACACAAATCCGTTTGCTTCTTTAACTTTTAAGTTCGTTTCTCCATCCAAGCTGGATGTTTCCACAAATGCAATTCCATTTTGGTCACTTGTACTTAGGACTAAAATATCAGCACAGAAAAATTCAGACCTTCTACAAAGAATTATATCCCCTGCATTTACATCCTTCCATCTTTTTTTAATAGTCCCATAGATGTGTCCTAAACTACCTTCAAAACTGCTAATAAAAGTATCCACGTCCGTAATTTCATCGACGTATATTCCATCATCAGAGGAGTTATCTACATTACATACTTTTTTGTTCCAAATTAAAAAACTTCTTATCTTTTTAAATATAGTTTTACAAAAGGATTTGCTGTGCGTGTCCTCATTGGTCTGATCATCGGCCACAACGAAGCACATTCGGTTGTTTTCAATTTTGTCCGTCTTGTGTCTGTTCCAATCTTCATACGCATCTTTGATAGCATTGGCCACTAGCACAATGGTCAGCGGAAACAAAATGGTCGGTAGCCTATTCGTTGCGGTGAACTGCGGCACTAACTGCAGAATACCGATGATCAAAAAGTAAACGTTGGATATCTTGTGAAACTGCTCATATGCGTTGAAAAAAATAAAGTTCCAGATGGTGTACTTGGACGTGATCACAGAGTTGTTGTGTCCTCTTTTGTTCTGGCCGTTTATGTTTATTCGAATGTCGTTGACGTCACTGCGAGGAGGTGAAAAATAAGGTGCAAACGTGAGGTACAAAAATGAGGTACAAATGAGGTTGTGTTCAAATGTGGCATATCCCCCCCAACTCCGCTGAGGGTTTATCTGCGCGTTAGACCACAACACACGCACAGTACACCTCTATGCGGACACACTCAAGAACTCTCACTATAAAAAATGTTCATTTGACATGTGGCCCTCAAAAGCAGTTCTACATTAGTACGCAGATATTTGCCTTTTTTTGTGTGCGTCCAGGCGGGGGGGAGCATACATCATCCTTAGATATAAGAATGTATTCAGATTATATGTGTCCATGTACCGCACAGGTAAATACGCTATGTATGCATCTTACTTGTTATTTCCTTTTAATAAATTCAGGGTTTTCTGATACAGCAAGGACATTATTGCTTCCTCGTTTCTTCTTCTCTTCAGGGTTTAGTTAATCAAGTTTTGGCATATATTATATACAAAAGTGAAATTGACAAGGCATTTTTGACTTTTTCTTTCTTTTACTTAATTTATTTAAAAAGTACAGAATTGGGCGTGGTCATAAAAATAAAAAAAAAAAAAAAAAAAAGATTTCCTAAATTAGGTGAAAAATATGATTTATGGCCTAATTAGTATAAAATGATCTCAACTGGGAAGAGTTAGTAAATAATAAAAATTAACAAAACTGCAGAAATGGAAAGAAAAAATGCTTAAGATGAAAATGTGTTTGCTTTGTGCATACATATTTGCTGCAGGCGTGAGGTTATCACATCCTGTACACTCATGTTCCCTGTTTATGTATACTACGTATGGGTAAAAACAAAAGTATAAAAAAAATATATATATATCATTCTGCGTTTAAGCGTATGCACATTTCGCGCGTGTAATTTATGTGTGCTCACAAAGCGAGTGCATGCGAAATTCCAACAAGTGTATGGACTAAGGCGATTTCGCAATGTATGCAATTGGCAAAAAAAGGAAACGATGGAGGCGGCAAATGGAACAAAAAAAGAAGGTAAAAAAATGAAAAAAGAAGAATATGAAAAAGCAAAAATGAAAAAAGAAAAAAATGAAAAAGCACAAATGAAAAAAGAAAAAAATGAAAAATTAAAAGGGAAAAGTAAAAACAAAAAAAAAAAAAAAAAAAATGAAAAA